ATGTTATGGTCAGATAATAATTTGCATGATTCAGTTACTCCATTAATTTATATTTAATCAATTAAACTGCCATAAAATACTTTAAATTAAAAATGTTTCCCATTGAAAAATATGTAAATACCATTAGGATATAAATATCTATGTATGCTTATTTGATGGTTTCAATATTTCCCTATTGTTCTGTTTAAGATAACATCAGTGAATTCCAAATTAAATGTATATTCAAAGTAGGCATAATTTTTTTCTAGAAAGACGTGCATTTCCATACTATTTTTTAGGGAGGATTTTTCTACTGATTAATTGGTTGTATTATATGCATTATGAATATCATCAGTAGTCTGATTTTTTTTTCCTATTAATCGTATTCAAGTGAATCTAACAAGATTATTGCACACTATTAAGAAGATAGTTATTAGGAGTTTAATACTTAAACATTGAATTGATTTTGATCAGACAACTAGCCCATATTTGCTGACATAAAGTTTGATAATGGAATTTATCTAAGGATTTTTATTTTTTCTAACTTGCTTATTTATTAATTGAAAGCTAGCCTCTGTTATACAGAAGAAATGTGCTTGACAATTATCTTTGCCATAACTTAAAAATATCATTTTGATTGATTGTACTTTAAGGTTTTTCAATGTCCGCTTTCTTGCAATTATTTTTGATATTCTTTTAATGTTTTCAACTCTAACTGTTTCTCAGATCACTTCACACACACACACACACAGAATAAAAGATATTTAAACTTGTTCTGTTTAATAACTCCCTGTGTAGGTTATGCAATTTGGTGGATTACAACACTGAGGTTCATTTGGAATCTAAGATAAAATATTGGATTTTTATACAGACAACAAAAGTAATAAGTTAACATTTCACTAACTTTATTTGTAATTTACTGATTTCCCTCCCCCGTTATTATATTTCTAATTACTGTTAGGCATGTTATATCAGCATATTTCCATTCTGTGTGGATTATTACTTTGCTTTTTACTTAACAAGAACATTAACTAACCAGACATCTAAATTGAACACATTAGTCATTCTACTTACTAATAATTTAAGTAGCCAAGCTAAAATAAACAAGTTAATTAGACTGTCTATACTTGTAACAGTGCAGAATACCGTATTTTGTACAGAAATGAAATCTAAGGTTAAAAAGAAACCTCACTGTGTTATGAACCAGTCAACGGATATTGAGCATCTTTCGTAGACAATTGTTTATAAATACTTGTGCATTTTTGATGATGGTTGTGGTAGTCCTCCAAGTTTCAGCTTCGTATAGTAGATCTGTCTTGACGTTCGTATTGAAGATTCTCACTTTAATGCCAGCTGGCTGTGGTTTTGAGTTCTATATCTTCATCAGATCCTCCTTCTTCATCGACGATGTTGCCTGGTTATGTGAAAATTGCAATCTTTTCGAGAGCTTCTCCATCAAGCTGTGCTGTATTTCAGGATCTTGCTTTCCTCTTGAGTTTGTTGAAGCCTACTGCTGTTATATTGGTTGTCTTGACCTGCATTTGCTACTACGTATGATAGAGAGCTAGATCATCTGCCAAGTTCAAATCATCTAGTTTCATCGAAGCTATCCATCATATTCCATGCTTCCTCCCGACATTTGGAGGTCTTCATAATCCAGTCAACAATCAAAAGAGGCCAGAGTAAACAGCTTTTACTGACACCAGTTTTCGTCTGGAATGCATTCATTGTGATCCCTTCTTCTTTTGTTTTGAAGGATGCCTTGATGATTCTGGACCCATGGGATTCCAATTCGATAGGTGCTATTCGTGCTTCTTTCGATAATATCAGTGCAATCTCGTGTGTACGAAACATTTTCTTCCTCAGGACAGCAGTATCTTCCCCGAATCTAATTTTCTCTGTCCAGCTTGGGTCCAATAGATTTCACTTTTTCCGGGAACCGTCAAGTTGAATCTCCTCATTTCCTTAGTTGTTTATTTAGTCCTCTCAGTCTCGCACATTCCATGTACCTATATTGAATGTTGCTCCGGTTGTTAGAAGAGGCATTGGCCTCGTGACTTCCGCAGAATCTTGGCTTTCACTATGGGGTGTCATAGTTCTTCTGGATGGTAATCCTTAACCCCTCGAGCAGAGTTTAAGTAGATTATTCTGGTTACCGTCTTTTTAGCAAGGTTGTTTTCTACGGGATGGGGTTTCCCAACCCTCCTCCTTTACTCGGGTTTGGGGCCGGTAGTAACCCTAGAAGATCTACAGGCGGAGTTTACATATATAATACTTTCATATTGAGAAATAAGGATGAAAAGAGTAATCTGCTTAACATGTTCAACTATATTTACCCGTCAATTATATTAACTTTAAAGAAAGGAAATAATAGTAGCCCATTTTTAGATATCTAAATAAAAAGATAGAATACTAAAATGTGAAATACGTAGGAAACCATTAGATAGACAGTATACTAATTTCTACAGTTCTACACCGTTTAAATGTAAAAGAAGCTCAAAGGAAGTTGTGATTCACTATACGAAAGTAATTTTTCCGGCGACACTATCGAAGAAAAATTAAATATGCGTTATGTATTTAGTAGGAATGAATATCCAACCAAAACTATTAACAAAGACATAAACATAGTGAATATAAAGTCAAAAATAACAACTGTCTGGAATAAGTAAGTCCTACAGTTCAAAAACAAGATTGGTTGTGAGATATTAAGATAAAGGCTAAGAAAGGTATTACAGAAAGCTAAACTGAATACCGTATTCTATGATCGTCCGACAACTATATCTTTAAGCAAACACAAACTGCTTGAATTAGTCACATGTTTACCGATTCAACTTCTGTGAAACCAGTTACATTGAACGAAGAATTCGGCAGGTCAGTTATCATAATTCCAAACACCATTCAGTCTGGCTGAGCAAAGGAAAGTTATGGGTGATTAAGAAATCTATTCTTCCTGACTTGGTTGATGCAGGAAACCTAGTGGACTTGAACAAAACTTTTCGAGTAGTCTATCATACTACAGAAGTTATTGGAATCCAGATCTGTGAACCTGGTTTGTGTATAAAAGAAATTTAGGCGGACCCTCTCCCTACCCTGGTCATCGACACAAGCTGTATCCGTCTTTTTTTCTCTTACGCAGCCGTCACTAATATTTGACGCGTTATCGAAACCCCCAAAGGATATTTTGTAATCTGCCGGCTGTTGAACTAAATAGTTTTGATTTCTATAAATAACCAAATTAATCACAATTATCCCATCCTCTTTGTTTTAATTACAGTTACTTTTGACATTATCTCCATATGCACACACAAAGTACTTTTCTGCACTCTTTAAGATAACACTATTGTTGCAGGTAAATGTAAATTCTTTTGAACCAGTGATGTGAATTATCTAGCTGATAATGTAGAAGCTTATACACGGTTGAAAATGGATATGATTTTGATGGAGTTTTGTTCTCTGAGCTGGATGGTTTGGTGGTGGAGCTTCCACCTAAAGTGCTGATGTCGTTCAGAATATCGATGAAAGCTCCGCGACTAAACCATCCAGTTCAGAAAAGAAAACTCCGTCAAAATCATCCACCTGAGTTACAAATCTTCTCCATCTCGAAAATGGACATGATAAGAAGTGTTCAATTTAGGGCCGTAGATTATGACTGGTCCTCTTCGACTATCCAACGTCTATAGTCTTACCAGTCAGTCAGCTAGAACGTAGGACCAGGCTCATATGTGCATTGATCCAAGTTGCCATACCATAACTTTATATTCTAGGATGAATGATTGTGTGAATTAATGTGCACCAAAACCATAAGTAAACTTCACTATAAGCTATGGATTTTGACCACTTGTCTCTTATTAGGTGATTTACATCTAGAAAACTACGAGAAATAGTTAAAGAATTCCTACATAAATGAAGAGTAAACTGTATTGCTTCTCCCTAATGATAAGGTAAAGTGAAGTAAATAGTCACTCTTAAGTACTGTATGCAGGTTTCGGAGAAATAGCATACATTTATCGTGTGGGATTACGGACTTCTAACTAGTGAAACTTGTCCTATCCAACTTAAAATCAGATCGAAAGCTCAGACATGTAGTTCGGGCCTTGCTTTAGGAGGTCAGAGATGATATTTCGCAGCATTGACAGGCTTGGTAATCAGGGTGGAAGCGAAGTTACAAATCGAGGAAGGAAATTTTTGTCAAGATCAAGTTCGGTTGGTGTATGAGTGATTGATACTCTCCAACTGAAAATAACGTAGAAAGATTATTCTTCTTGAACGACAGGAAGAGTATTAAAGCTGCAACATTAGTTATCCTCAAAATCAACCACACAACCAGGATAAATGTCTAGATCGAAATTCTGGGGTCTGAAAACAAAATCACTGGAAATGGTAGCTATGATCTGCGAATTAAATCGACTTGACACTATCTTAGCAGTGCCAAGACGTGGGTGGTGTATTAAACAATACTACTTCACAACCGAATATTGTACTAAACTATTTTGAAATGTATTCAACATCATATCTTCTTACCCCATCCTGCTTATTTCGACTAAGTAAGTTAATTAGAAATACTGGCATTCACACACAAACAGTCAGTTATTTGTGGACGGAGTGATCCCAAGGGCTTAAAACTGAGTACATGAAACTATACTATGTTACCTAGATAGATCTAAAAAATTAGTTGTTCTAAGAAATATTTGTTTACTAACTATTAAGCGTGTCATCACTACTCATTAGTTTTTCCAATATGTATTAAAAGAAAGAATCCCGAAAACTTCATTTAAATTTATAGAAGGCATGAACTCAGTCATTAATAATGTAGAGTCTCGTATAGATGTGCATTGGTCGAAGTTGCTAAATCTCATAGGCAAGAGATGAAAATAACAAGATGAATGGGAAGAGACAGACATAACGTACCAGTCTATATAATTTCATATAACCATAACACCTATTTCCTGTGGAATGCAAGTTAGTGGTAGAATAAGAAAATACTTAGGCTGTCTTGAACGATATATATAAACAATATGAAGTCAAGAAATATAGTCATCTTTTATTTCAGCAACTCGTTTATGTGCTAAGTATAAAAACGCAATACTACACATAGCACTGATAAGAAAGATTACGTCAAACCAACGATGATAGAAATGAAACTGTAAGTCACCAAGTACTTGATTTAACATATTCCTATACTCTGCAGTCATATTCATACGTAAAAGCAATACAGAAGAAACAAAATAAGTACCCATTATTTGTGCTATGATTAAAACAATTATATTCGATGATTTTGTGCTGGCTATAGCATGAAAGAATTTTGTTAAAGTTATTAAGAGTCCGCGAATTGACGTTACAACAATTATACCGACGAGCCAAAAAGATATTTGTTGTGACCAAAATTTTACATCAATTTGAAAGCCTAGATAATGTATAGTTATACCCATAAAGCGTGTTATAGGATCTTGTCCACCGAATCGATTCAATAAAATATTTACAATGGATATAAATATTTTCCAACAGCAATAACCACAGAAAAAGTAGCCAAGACAATTGAAATATTTTCCTTTCCATGTTTTTGAAAATTCAATCCGTTCTTGGGCAGTTCGGAGGTAGTGCAGTTCCAGAAATAATTGACGACTTAAGTCTTCAAGAACAGATATCTATATATTTTGAAAGAAAACGAGAGAAATTAGCGATGAATACAAAAAATAACCCTCGTGTTAGATTTTTCTACTGAACGTAAGAAATAGTGAAGACTTTCAGGGTCACTTGAAATTCTAAATAAAAAGAAAAATGATCCTATACACTATCACAACACAAGAGTTCTAAACAAGTATTCAGTTGAATTTTAATAAGACTAAAATGTTTTGCCGTATAACTGCTGCCAGAAATAACAATGACGTCGGTCGAAATGAGAGTATAAAGTAATAAATAACTAGGTGATAATGTTTTATTAAAACTCCTGGCTTATATGGTAATGAGAATTCAGAATGCCTGATGTTCGCTTTCAAAAGTTCAGGAAAATTAACTTAATAGTAGTGAAAAGTAGTTTCAATTATTATTCTATAAGTTGTAAAACGTTGGTTGAAAAGCTGTCCTACTTATTTTGAAGCAACCACACATTTTTTTCACGATTAATGATCACACTATTGGAAATGATAATAACCAGTCGATTTTGTTAGCAAGATTTCCTAGGTTGTAACTGTGATACATTCCGAGTATGTTAGGCTTTGCGAAAACATTTTTTGGTCATACTTTGAACATTATCATAATATTAAGTAACAGGAATTTATATTGGATTAACATGACTGAAGCGTAACATGAAATTAATAACTATAATCTAAAGCCCTTGGAAGAACTACACTCGTAAATGTGGACGTTGTTATTGAGGTTTTATTTTAAAGGTAATATCCCCCTTTTTATTAAGGGCTTTCTGAATATATTAGTGTACGTCTGACGTCACAATCTATAGATATATAGCCTATTAATTGCACGAATTCCTACATTTTTAGTTCTTTTTCATGAATTACATAAAATAAAGATGCGGTTACAGGAGTTGAATTTCGATTATTAGGTCATATATTCGAATCAGATTTATTTATTTTATTAAATGACTCGAATATGGTAACATTGTATAAATAAAACACTAACCTCATGTTTCAATAATTTTTCGTCAATACGAGGTGATGAAATGGACATTCCAACTGTGCGTAACATACTCCAAAAGGTGTTAGATTTTTCGTTGGTGGTACGCTGAAATTCATATAAAAACATTTTACGGTAAAATCTGGAAGCTATACAACGACTAAATTCTGCAAAAAATAACAATCAATGAAATAACGATTCTGAGAGCTACAGTAATAAGATAGGTAGAAAGGTACAGGTACAATGCCCCAAAAGCCCTGGTATGGTGGAGAGTGGGGAGAGTCCGCTCTCCCTCTTGAAACACTCTCACATGGTCACGCGTATATAGCCTCTGCCAGGGAAGTCCTACTCACTGCCTTTCGTGGCGGGGGTGTTGTTTACGAAAATGAGAGGACGAAAAGCGAATGTCCGGCGCTTTAACCGGATCCCAAATCAATGGTGCACATGGGATCCAGTATCCTATGGGAACAAATGGCGTATGAACCAATCGTTGGTCACCGGCTACCATGGGACTGCATCTCCTCACGATGTTCCACTGCCTTGTGGGTTAGACCTTTAGGTCGAAGGTTTGGGGTGTGGCGCCCTAAGAAAACTACCTGCTTCGGTTTGGGCATCCGGGAGTATCACAGCCCTCGCACAAATCAATTGAGATTCGTGTGGCGCATATGTATTTGGTGCCTCCTTGTACCAATACCTATGTGTTAAAATAAATAACCAGTCCCAAGCAATTAATGGTTGTGGTCAATGAAACATTTCTTAGTTCTGATTTATATTTTAGTGACTGCCATAAAACAAATTATCTAACAGAATACTTGGTTTTTTAGTGAATTAAAGCTGATTTGACCTTGAACACTAACAAGTACCCCAGAAATACGGACCACTAAGACCTGAGCTATTAGTTTTAGAAACGTCACGATACTACCTAACTTTGTATTAAATGTAATATAAGAATCGAGTCCAGAAATAATTTGTAGAGAAACGAAATATGTAGCATTATGTAAAGAGGAACATCTATAATGACTAACATTAGTGTTTGTAAATGTTCTGATACGACTGAGAGAAGTCAGCTTTTTCTCCCGAAGTACCTTCATATGAACACGCGTTTAAAGTGCTGGCATTTGAAGTGGACTGGCGGGAAATCTGTATACAAAACTGAGGGAACGAAAAGTGAGCTTTTGCGACTCCGCTCGACTAGTGAATACGAAGGATTGACCAGTGGTGTTAACCGATCCCAGGATCAAAAAGCGATTGCCATATAAACCTGTTCCATTGTCTAGGTATCATGGGGCTGCAATCAGCATTAATTCACTACCTTCTGGGTAAGATCACTAGGTAGAATGCTCAGGAGGTGACCTCTAGAAGGAACCAGATGTACGCGTTTGGGCGCACAACTAGTATCTCAGCTCTCATAAGTATAAAGAAAGCGGTATACCTGCTTTGTTGCCGACTAACAAAACGCAGCAGTCTGAACTGTGTTGGTAGAGAGTTAATAGAATACGGCGGCACACTGAGTTAAAAAATATGTCTACGGCGTGACATGAATAACAGGAAAAAACAGACAAACTCAAAACAAAAATTAAAAACACGCGATGGACTAACATTCATTCTTGCCTCAAATTGAAACTGAGCTAGTCTTCGACGCTTCACCAAAATCATATCTACAGTTTGTAACAATCTTCTCTCAGCTGTGCGTATTTCTGAGTTTGAAACGGACAAGGCGAAGTAAGTCATACATGAATACGGATAGTTGACAGCACCGAAACCGGATAAAAATGCCATTATAGTTACTCCAACTACCCCTATTCGACCAATACATTGCTCCAAGAATACAATGCCATGTTTTCCACTCAAAATAGGGAAAGATGTCCCCACTTTCCAAAAGGCATATAGATATGCAGTCATAAGTGCAAAAGAGAAACAAAGTCTGATTGAATATTTAGGAGGGATAACTCGTAAACTCTTGCTGATATAAAATGATATGTAAAATGGAATAATTATTATGACATCTAGGAGTGTTGTTAAAAGAATAAATTGCCAATGTATGCGCCTGGAAGAGGCTTCCAAAATATCTAGTATTTCGAAAATTACTAGCTCGAAAACTGTACAAGACAAGGAAAAAGTGAGTGAGAAGATTAGTACTACTACAGAGTCCTTGACTTCATAGTCACGGAAAAGCTGTTGAAGAAAGAAAACCCATCCTCCTATAAAGAAGGCTATCTGAGAAAAAAATAGGGCGCACGAGTCTAGTAGGAAACTCATAATAAGCGCATGGCCTTGACATATCAACAAACACAATGGTGAGACTATAAATCCATACTAAACAGACGTATTTTAGTGGTAATATATAAAAAATTACGTGCAAAAAAGGAGTAATTGTGGCAACGAACTAGTAAGCGCGTTTTTTAATCTTGGTGAAAACTATGCCAGTTGACCGAAGATGGATAGTATTATAAATGAACATGAAAATAGTCCACTCCAGTCTCAGGATGGCATTTTACAATGTGATAGATATGGATTTCGTGGTGGTCAGCAGTATACAAATCCAGAAGAGTAGGTTAAATGGGTTTTTACTTCTGAATTGTTCCATTTGTTTAATTTGCACATTCCTCTTTAGAATCAGGTGCCTAAGACTCCAATGCACTTTTTGAATGCGTTTATGCCTTCTCAACCATCCACCAGTATAGTTCCTACTTCCAGTGTAGCCTGGGACACCATGTTGTGCACTCGAAGAGGGTTTAGTATTCAACCTCTTTCTCTTTTATGTACCCATTGACCCAGATGTTTGGGGTTTATTCCTGTTTCCAATTAAACACAGAAAATAATTATTCTTATCTGGTCTTTATCACCATATTTCCTGTTAATTTTTTTAACCCCATCCACCTTAACCTGTAACAGTGTTCATTTTGCTGTGCTAATGAGATATGATAACTTGGTTCGATACATATATATATTTGCCTGGGCCTATGTTGTAAATGACCAACTGACTGACTATCACTGTGAAAATGAAACCTAATTACTAGTTTTTGTCACTTAATTCACTTAGCTTCAACGTATATATTGGATCTCTATCTTTTCAAGATAAATCCATGTAATTCATAGTACAATTATTCGTTGCCTCTAGATAAGGAAGCTCATTAAGTACAAGATTATTCTCCTATTTCGAAGCCTTCCAAATACTTTAAGTCGATATTGGTAATACTTCATTGCGTCGAAATGCCGTTTATCACGTTCCACAGCCCCCAAATGCCGCGGTACGGACGAGAGTGGGGATAGTCCGCTCTCCTCGAAATGCTCTTACATAGCCATGTGTGTATAGCCTCTGCCCGGAAAGTTCTGCTCACTGCCTTCTCTTGGCGGGAGTGTTGTTTACGGACGAAAAGCGAATGTCCGGCGCTTTAACTGGGTTGGTGGACACAGATAATCCACCTAGGGGAGTTGGGAAACACTGATTCCAAACGAATGGTGCACATGGGCTCCAGTATTCTGAGGGGACAAATGGCGTGTGAACCAATCGTTAATCACCGGCTACCATGGGACTGCATCTCCTTACGATGCTCCACTGCCTTGTGGATCAGATCTTTAGGTCGAAGGCTTGGGGTGTGGCCCCCTAAGAAAACCACCTGCTTCGGTTTGGACACCCGGGAGTATCACAGCCCTCACACAAATCAAATTAGACTTTTGTGGCGCATATGTAACTGATTCCCTCCTTGTACCAGTATCTGTGTGTTCAAATAAATAAAAATATAAACTCCTGTCTGTAGTCATATGGTCTACATACTTTTAATCGAACTCATTCGGGTACATGGTTCAACCTGTTTAATGTTAAAATGCTCAAGTTAAGTAATTTCCAAGTACTTTCGTTAGAAGACATTTAAATCATCAGAAATCTTTATAACAATTTTGTATAAAACAATTTCGCTATTCACTATTATCAACTGACCCTTGTGGACTAATTTAAAGTCAAAACAAATTTTGGCTCCTTATCGGAAATTAATTTTGGGACTATATCTTTGTTTTTGTTTGTCTTCCTTATAGATATATCAACAGTTCTCAGTTTCCTGGTTCAATCGTAAAATATAAAAATCAACTCATTTACTAGGTACTTGGGTATAAACTACTGTGAATATGAGGGCCAAATAACACTAGTTGGATACCCAAACCTAAGTCGATACAGCGGGGTTCATAACTGAAACTTAATGCCTGAAAATCGAACTCATTTACCTTCGAGCCGCCACTCAAAGCTCTATATTATTCCTTTGGAATAGTATCGCTAACCTTCACATTTGATGGGTAGCTGAAAGTTGAGTATACAAGTCCATACTTAATTACTCTCATAATGTAACAAGTAATAAGCATGTGCTTGGATTTGAGTGGCATTTTCTGCGAGAGATTAATACTAACTAGCTAGTCGAAGGAAATCAGAGAGGAGCATGGTGTACTTCGGTTAGGATATTTACATCCTATATATCCTTCGAAAAGTCAAATATCAACACCTATGATTGAATTCTGACTCAGATTAGTGTGAGCTTTTCTTGTTAGGAATAACTCGAGTACTTCCTGAATTAACCTATAGCATAATCTACTACATTAGTGGAGATCGATAAGTTACTTTGGTGACTCGACCTCAGCATTTTTACTCATTTCATCTACACCTTTCAGTCTTGTTTCAATGAGGTGCCAAAAAAAACTGTGCTTCAACAACCTCATGTATTGCTTCCTTGTCTATGACATTTGTCCTATTGAAATAGTGATAAGCCTTGCTCGTTTTGTTCGTTTTTTATATGCTAGGAATCGGTAGTAAATCCTGCCAATTATTGTCATTTCTACTACTTGGCTTTTTTTTAACACATGTCTCTTTTACCTTTCATACACGCGCGATACTACTTATTTATAGTATAAATGGCGTTTATTCTTCAAAACATCTGTCTCATACTTTATTCCTTAAATCAAATGGATAAACTCAAATATATAGTCCACGGTTTCCAGGTCTGAGTAGAATATCTTCTTTTAGGATTTACTGTTCGAGGTCGTCACAGTTAAAATGACTAAAACAGTATAAGCGTAGTAATTACCTCGTAAAGTAAATCTATTATTTGATGGTTAATGATATAACTGGGGACTTGTCTTTGAGTGGTAAATCCGGTAATGCAAGTATTAGTTCACGATTTTTATGACTTCACTGTTTATCCAACAAATCTTCGTAGTGTCTTCCGTAATTCATGGCCCACACAATTACTGAATGATTTTGTCAAAAACATAACTTTGTGCACGTTTTCGCTTCTGGTTAGCAGTTGGAAAACATAATTATTTAGGAAGCCTTTTAAATTCATGGAGACATGAGATTAAAATTACAAATCGTGTGAGGAATGTTGCTCAATAAATCATATTACTTTGTTATGGTGCTGACCAAACACGTATTGGATTACAGGTGTTTGCAAGTTCACTTTTTTGTATGTATAAATAGATCAATATAGCTTTTTAACCCAGTGTAGGTTCGTAAACTAGGTCTTCGGACATACTTTCGATGTGAAAATTAATGATACTACTCTACTTTCAAAACCATAGTAGGAAAATCAGCTTCCAAACCTCAGACTTTATGATTTAAAACGGAATACCTTAATCACTAAGCCTTTGTTTCGAACGAATAGTCTTGTCACGATCGGACAAAAACCTAGCCTATGTGAATTGAAAGTATTAGGTATTGCATAGTATCTATTGATCTAAGTAGCTTAACAATAGAAGTAACGTCCTGGATTTACGTTGTTCATTTTGCAATTGTTATCCGCTTAACCTTTTTCGGTTCTACCAGTAGGATAATATCACTTCTACACAAGCAATATGTCATAAATAGTTACGTGAACATATATTTTTTAAGTTGCATTAAGTAATTGCCAAAATGTTATTCAACATAAATACTGTGTTTAGGATCTATGGATTGCACTTTGTACGTTATACTTCAGTGAGTGTTGCTTAAAACAATTATGATTGTCAACATGGATAAACTGGCACAGAAAACTTATTTGCCGTCTATCCATCTCAATCAAGTATAGATATCTGTTTGTACTAGAAAACTAGGTCATAGTATGATAATACAAGATATTTACAACCCTGATTGACTATATATCGTCCAATTTTATGACTTTTATGGAACCGTTGATTAATTTTCTCAGTATAATTTCATTTTTACACCCGAATCTGCTATTCTATACCTAGGGGAATCGGAAAACCTTGATTCCAAACCAATGATGTACATGGATTCTAGGATCCTAAGGAAACAAATGGCGTAAGAACCTATTGTTGGTCACCGGCTCCATGGGACTGCACCTCCTTACGTTGCTCCATTGCCTTTAGGTCAAAGGCTCGGGGTGTGGTCCCCTAAGAAAACCACGTGCTTCGGTTTGGGCACCCGGGAAGTATCCCAGCCCCCACATAAACCTAATGATTTATGTGGCGCATATCTGTTTGCTGCCTCCTTGTACTAATGTTTGTGTTTAAGTCAATAATAATAAATAAAAAAATAAAGTTCGACTTCAAGTACTGGTTCTTCACAATTGTTTGCCAATAAAACCATGTATCTCGTCTTTAGTATATTGTATCATTAAATTGTATTTTCGTCTCATAAAATTATTAGCCTTTTCAAAGCATTATTTAGAGTGCGTTTATTTGCTCGTCTTTATGTTTTAACTACTTTTTCGATACAAATAAACTTCGTTGGTCTTTAGATACTATATTTCTTTACGAGACTTCTCATCCGTTATCGTAAAAGTCCAGTCCTTCCTACTGGGACTTGTTCTTCTCGGATATCTAGTTGACATATTGACTGTATCACTTATTCCTGAACTTTCTATTGCCAGATAAATCGATAGTAGTTTTGGGGCAACTAGGCAACTGTCAGATAATGAATATCTAGATTGTAATTCCTGCTTCGGTTTGGGCACCCGGGCAGTATCACAGCCCTCACACATATCAATTGAGATTTGTGTGGCGCATATGTATTTGGTCCGTCTTTGTACCAATACTTATGTGTTAAAACAAATAAACAAACAAAACAGATTGTAATTAGGGTACAAGGAAGAAATCGTACAGTTGTCAAAATGAAATCTTTTTACAACAATCTTGATCTGAAAGACCATTTTTTTCTCAGCAATGCTGTTGAAATTTAAATTGTAATGATTAACTCTAAACACTTCACATCTTTCCTTGCTGTACAGATTTTCATTGTTCTATAGAGTACGAACAAAATTTTCTCGTCAACATCTAAAAATTAAAATCCAGCAAACTGCTAATACCAAAAAGACCTATATCAGAAACCCTTTTCATCTTTGTTTCTTTTTTGTCATTGTGTATGATTATTAATACTGTTCCCTCGAGCTTTTATGAGTTCAGCTTCATGGTCAATGTTAATAATTTGAGTTTTTACTTACTTACTTACGCCTGTTACTCCCAATGGAGCATAGGCCGCCGACCAGCATTCTCCAACCCACTCTGTCCTGGGCCTTCTTTTCAAGTTCCATCCAATTCTTGTTCATTTTTCTCATATCTATCTCCATTTCTCGGCGTAATGTATTCTTTGGTCTTCCTCTCTTCATTCGACCTTGAAGATTCCATATGAGGGCTTGTCTTGTGACGCAGTTCGGTGCTTTCCTCAATGTGTAATAATTTGAGTTTACGCAATAATATTTCTTTTTAGACTTTTCAGATCACAAAATGACTGACCATTTAGTTTCTTGATATTGTCTGAAGAGCATTTCAGTTATTTTGTACATATTTTTACTATCATATTTTTAGAGAAGATCGTGTTCCCATTGAGGTTATACGTTCACGAGAGTTAAAATGGAGGAAAATGTGTTCTAATTGGAGTTTATGGTATTTTAAATACCATCAAAAGCTACGTGATCGATGTCGAAAAGGGATTCCTGATTCATTTCGTTGTGAAGCATGGCAACGACTATGTGCGAGCCCGATGGTACTTGTTCAACGTCAACGAATTACATGTGATGAAACTCTCGGGACAAAAACAACCTTAATAACTACAGGAACTAGTCAAAGTGTTGATCATGGTAGTAAAAGTAAATTTCCTAAGCATCGTTTCGGAACATTATCAAATCGAACAAATTTTAAAAGTTTACAAATGGTTATCACTTCTCCAAGTTTTCGTACTAGTCAAATTAAAGAAGATGATAGGTGAGTTTTAAGTCTATATAATGTTTTTATGTGTTCGTTGTTTCACATGGCATATATGTACTCCAAGTGGTACTTTTAGATCACTAATAATAACTTGTGACTTGCAGCTTGTATATCTACCTTTAAATACCTCTCAGGGTTCTCAAATTGCTTGATAATCAAATAGTTTATACCATGCGTTATTTATTCTACATTTTTATTTAGTTATGGTATGTTTATTAATAAATTGTATGGTGTAGTGAGACTAGTTAATAAGTAAAGCCGTTTTCCACATGGTCGATGGAGAAATGCATTTTATAAAATAATTCACGTGTAAATCGAACGTTAAGACTTCATGTGCAAAAAAATCATTTTTTAGTATGTTCTGTACTAATTAACTCTACAGCACCTAAATTTCCAACTAATCATAGTCGTCTATTAACTCATTAAATATCTCTGATTCATTAGACTAATGTATTAAAATAACTCTAGTACAAGGGCGTCTTCTTGACTGCATAAAATCTCGGTATTCGAACTTTTCAGGATAAAAAGACAAATGCTTAAAAGATCCTAAACAGTAAATTATATTTGTAAAATCTCACCAATTCAACTTAGAATAAGTGTTGTCATTTTCCCTTACTTTGTTTATACTGCTACTGCATTGTAGTTGATCATCTATATTTACAAATCAGACTAAGTTTTGAGTGGATCTCTTGTTTAGTGTCTTCATTACTAACATTTCTATGGGTATATTACTCAGTTTTTAATACCTTGATTTTCATGATTCTCGACATGATCTTAACATGAATGATTAAATTATTGAATATTTGTTTCATGTTTCCCTATTTGTTTACTCATATTTGTGTATGATATATTAGTTCGTACTATGTATACATAAATTTATTTTAATTTACACTGAATGATAGTATCTTGTTGATGTCCTTATAATTCCATGAAGAATCAATAAACTTTAATGATAATATTAATAACACTAAGAATAGCTATAATTGATACCTTTTAACTTTCATTTATTGTGATTGATTTTAATTTATGTCTTAATATTTGTTATTTAGTATAGGCCTATTATACGTGTTTGGCCCTACGTTGTAGCTGACTGATTGATAGGCTTATTTAGTAAATTATAACATTTAATATGTTGAATAACTAAAGGCTAATAGAAACCTACATATTATTGTGGGCTATTTAAAATGGCAATCTCTAGTTTATGAGGTAAAGTATTATTTGATATTTAATTTTACTGAGCCCCCAAATGCCCTGGTATGGCCGAGAGCGGGGAGGGTTCGCCCTCCCTCTCGAAATACTCTCACACGGCCACGCGTATACAGCCTCTGACAGGGAAGTCCTACTCACTGCCTTCTCGTGGCGGGGGTGTTGTTTACGAAAATGAGAGGACGAAAAGCGAACGTCCGGCGCTATAACCGGATCCCAATTCTATGGTGCACATGGGCTCCAGTATCCTGAAGGAACAAATGGCGTATGAACCAACTTTTGGTCACCGGCTTCCATGGGACTGCATCTCCTCACGATGCTCCACTGCCTTGTGGACTAGACCTTTAGGTCAAAGGCTCGGGGTGTGGCCCCCTAAGAAAACCACCTGCTTCGGTTTGGGCACCCGGGCAGTATCTCAGCCCACACACCAAAACATGATGAAATATTCGCTTACGGAAAATATCCGTTCTTCTCTGACTAACATTGAAATGACTGATACTATTATTATTATTATTATTATTATTATTGTTATTATTATTATTATTATTATTATTATTATTATTATTATTATTATTATTTACTACGTCATTTACTCACTATCTCCTATTTCTACTTTTTGTATCCGTTTCGACTCAGACAGCAGCTCGCCTATGGTAAAAATTCAGCTTTATCTAAACGTTCTCGAGTCACTGCCTGGTTTGAAAATTGTATGTTACCATCGAATAAGAGTACTGAAGCAGTCTTTCTGAAACCACGCGCACCATTCAAACTGGCTGCCTTTAACGTTCGCACACTTATGCAGGTCGGACAACAGATAGGGCTGGCAATGTCTTTGGAAAGTCTTAATATTGATGTGTGTTGTCTATCCGAGACCCGTATTCAAGACTCTGGTGAAGTACTACAAGTTCGCTCTCCATCTGTCGCTCCAAAAAGCTTGTTTTACGTGCGTTTATCCGGGGACCCTGTGGCATTTTCGTCTGGTCTTGCTGGCGTTGGTGTCGCACTAAGCGCAAGAGCTGAGGCAGCACTAGTCGACTGGATCCCCATTAACAGTCGGTTATGTGCTGTTAGATTAGAAAGTACCATCAGAGTGAGAAGAAATCGGCGTGAGAAACGATGTCTTTTCGTCATCTCCGCCTATGCCCCGACAGATTGCAGCCCGGATGCAATCAAGGATGAGTTCTACCACCAGTTATCTGTTCTTCTCCAGAAAGTGCGTTCGACAGATATTGTAGTACTAGCTGGAGACTTGAATGCTCAGGTCGGGCGTCTAGGCACAGAAGAGAGTCGTTTAGGTGGCCGATGGGGACTCGTTGGTCGCAGGACGGATAACGGGGAACGTCTACTGCAACTATGCACAGACCACAACCTGTTTCTGGCTAGCACTAACTTTCGGCACAGTCATCGCCGATGTGCCACCTGGCGTCCCCCTTCTGCATCTCAAGCCTGGACTCAGATTGATCACATCGCGATCAGCTACCGCTGGCGCGGTTGTGTACAAGACTGCCGCTCCTTTTGGAGTACCTATCTGGAATCTGATCATGCTCTGGTCTGCGCCAATCTTACCTTACTTTTCAGTGGACAACGAAGTGACCGCCACCAAAGGATTGATGTTAGCAAGCTGGCTGCAACTTCTGTTGCTAGTAAGTACCGAGCCGAGCTAGCTTCTAGGCTAGCCACTATTCCACCGAAAAGTATAGATGAGCATTGGTTGCAATTGCATGACGCCATGAAAATGGCGGGTCAAGTCAGCTGTGGGATTGCGAAACGTCCCGCTTACAAGCACTGGGTTTCTTCTGGTTCCTTACAACTGATTGAAGCCCGTCGGTCTACTCCGGGTGACCGTGAGTTTGACCACAGACGAAGGTTGTTACGTAATGAAATCGGGCAAAGCTTGCGTAAGGACCGAGAAACCTGGTGGTCGGAGCGTGCCAGTGAGTTGGAAGCAGCAGCTGCATCTGGTAATTACCGGAAGCTCTTCCAACTCATCCGAGCCACCGGCAGCAAGAAGTTTGGTGTGAGCGAAACAATCTGCGAGGATGATGGAACGCCAATCACTAACATCCATCGACGTCTTGGACGATGGGCAGAATTCTTTGAAGGGCAGTTCAACTGGCCTGCTGCTCCGGCAACATCGGTCAGACTGTCCTGCCCTCCTTGGCCGGTGACGACTGATCCACCAAATGAGGCGGAAGTCCGCAAGGAACTCCAACTCTTGAAACGTTACAAATCACCAGGCCCAGACGACTTACCCCCGGCTCTTTTTAAAGATGGTGGTGACTTTCTGACTAAAGGACTGACGACGTTGTTTACAAAGATCTGGGAACTAGAGAGTGTACCAACGTCATGGAATGAGTCGATAGTTGTCCCTATCTTTAAAAAGGGTTCACGTTGTTCCTGTAACAACTATCGGGGGATAAGTCTACTTCCGATTGCGTCCAAGCTATTGGCTTCCGTCATACTTCGTAGGTTGTTCAGAACCCGAGAAGGATTGACTCGCGAGGAGCAGGCTGGGTTTCGTTCTGGTCGAGGATGTATTGATCATATCTTCACCCTCCGCCAAGTGTTAGAACACCGCCATACTTATCAAAGGCCAACAATCGTAGTGTTTCTTGATATCAAGGCTGCTTTCGATTCGTTGGACAGAACTGTTCTCTGGGATTGTCTATTGAAGAAGGGTGTGCCTGAGAAGTTTATTAACATCCTAAAAGCCTTATATACAAACACCTCAGGTAGAGTGAGGGCATACAACCACCTTTCTCCACTATTCCATTCAAGCAGTGGAGTTAGGCAGGGTTGCCCAATCTCACCATTCCTCTTCAACTTTGCCATCGATGACATTCTGGAAACAGCTCTGACGGATGTAAGTAATGGTGGTGTGGATCTGTTGCCTGGAGAAAGACTTCTCGACCTTGAGTATGCGGATGATATTGTCTTACTGTGCGATAATGCCCAAGCTATGCAATCCGCACTTAATCAGTTGGCAATCAATGTCCGTAGGTATGGTATGTGCTTTGCACCTTCGAAGTGCAAAGTACTTTCAAAAGACTGGCAGGATTCTAATCCTGTACTCACTCTGGATGGTGAGCAGATAGAAGTAGTCGAGAAGTTCGTGTATCTAGGTAGCTGCATAAGTGCTGGTGGTGGCGTGAGTGATGAGATCAATGCACGTATAGTGAAAGCCAGAGCGGCTTATGCCAATCTGGGCCATCTTTGGCGCCTTCGTGATGTCAGTCTGGCTGTAAAAGGTCGGATCTACAACGCGACGGTGAGAGCAGTTTTGCTCTATGCTTGTGAAACCTGGCCTCTCCGAGTTGAGGATGTTAGACGACTCTCTGTGTTCGATCATCGTTGTCTCCGAAGGATCGCTGGCATCCAGTGGCAACACCGTGTCAGTAATGCAGAGGTTCGGCATCGAGTGTTCGGTCACAGAGATGATAATGAAATTGGTGTCACCATCTTGAAACACCGACTTCGGTGGCTTGGACATGTTCTACGAATGTCGTCCCAGAGAATTCCTCGTCGTGCATTATTTGCCGACTCTGGGACTGGTTGGAAAAAGCGGAGAGGTGGTCAGTATATGACATGGTGTCGTGGTATGAAAGAAAGCTGCAAAGGGCTAGCTTATGTTGGTCCTTCACGACTCCCTGGTTGGGGTCCGAGAGATGGTGTAACGCAGTGGCTAGAGACGTTATCAGATATGGCTCAGAATAGAAGCCAGTGGCGATCCTGCTGTAACCTTCTTTTACTTTCTTCATAAAAAGGTGGTCGTATTCTTCCTTAACTGAAAGATCTGTTCTGATTGTACCTTTCCGTTTCCCCCACCATTGTTCTCTCTCTCTCTCTCTCCTTTTTTTTATAATTCCCCACGTTCATTACTTTTTTTTCTTCTCTTTTCTCCTTCTCTTCTAATTATCACTGTTTTGTGTGGCGCATATATATTTGGTGCCCCCCTGTACCAATATTTATGTGCTCAAATAAATAAATAAATAATTTTACTGAATTCACCGAGCAATCTTTCCAACTTTGGTATTCTGATCAGTGCGATGAAATGCAAATAGTAACATGTTTCCTATTTAGATATTTCACTTGTTACGTAGTTGAACATAACAGAAAATCGCTGGACCTGTGCTTCGTTCTAGCCGACGCTCTGCAGACGTCCTGCAAATTAAAGGACCTATTCTTCCGTGGTTCAGGTAGTCAATAATGAATACCTATCATGTGGTTTATTAATTCCTAAATGAAACTGCCTACTTAGTAAAGATGCTTACTTAGTGTTATCAAAAAATAAATTTAAAATATTTCGTAGTTGACTGGATTATTTCTGAACCGATCACCTCTAACCGTATCGACGAACGAAAAAATAGACTGTCATTAGTAACATCACTGACCGTGGCACTAGGAGACGCCGGTTAGCATCTTTGAATGAATATCAATTCCTTCATGGTTGTAAATCTTGCCAAAGAGTATCAACCAATACAAAATTTAAGTCTAGGTTTTTCTGATGGTAACTTCCAACCATCTAATAGCACCAGACTTTATTGGTTGAAACACTCAAGTGGTGTTTATTTATTCGCTTGACCCTAGTAGTTTAGTTTCGTTACTTTAGAAATCATTTTTCAATAATCATGGAATCCAGTGACCAGTTCCGTTAAAATTACATGTTAGGACTAGGCAAACCACGTGATTGTCGATGCCCTTCGAATACAGTTTAATAGACAGTTGTATAAGTAGTGTCCCATCAAACAATTTGGTAAGACGTTGCGATGCGTGTCGATATATACGTGGATTCAACATACCTTGCCTACTGATACTAATGTTAAATGGTGTAATACTATGCTTGAAGCGAAACTTTTGTAAGTTAGATTAATCACCAATCGTAGTTGAACTAACTGTGGATTTAAAATTTCTTTCAATACTCACTAAAATATTGACTATTAATCAAAAGAAGAGTAAAGAAACACATAACCATGTGATTTATTGTCAATGTATTGTGACGATACTTGTTCTTTGTAATTGGTATTAGGTTTTTTGGTATGTTACTCTTTTCCTCGGTTCATAATCACGATTGTAATTGTTTAAGTGGAAAGAACTCACGTGTTATATATATATATATATATATATATATATATATATATATATATATATATATATATATAGAGAGAGAGAGAGAGAGAGAGAGAGAGGTCGCATATTAATAAGTTGCTATGATCATTTTATAAGGACAACTGTTCTATACTAAACTTATCAAAAAATTCTCCGTTTATTTTTGGTTAAAATACCAAACAAGCAACACATTTCTTGTTGCTCCAATGCATACTAAAGTCTTTTCGTATTATAAGTAAACTTGATATAGCATACACCATGAAATAATGTAATAGAATTATAAATTGAAAAGGTGGAAAACTTACATAAAGATACGTCTAACAACTCCTTTATTTCTTTTTGCTGACTTGTTTGAAACTTTTTTCAGTGTGAAAATGTCTTGAAGCTCTACTTCAGTGCTTTCCAGCCAACATGGACGTTGAAATAATTCTGTCATTAATATCTCTGATTCCCTAGTTCTTTCCACTAAGGCCAGAGAATTTACCTTAAAACTCATCTATTTCATGTTGGATAAATTCATCGGGGACGTAAATACAAGCTGCGAAAGATAATGAAATGTATCCCTTCCTTTTCTAGTTCGTAATTTTTAATTCAACCACTCAGCATATAAGCGATATTTGATTGAAGTTCTGTTCTTTCAAACTTAATGCTGTACTTACATCAACTTAATCACGAGTCGTTAACAGTTGTTTGGTAATAATAAGAGTGTTATTTATTATTTATTTATTTGAACACATAAATATTGGTACAAGGGGCACCAAATATACATACGCCACACAAAACAATGAGGAATTTAAAGAGAAGGGAAGAAAAAAAGCTAACGAACAGATTAGTGTAAGGTAGTGTAATAGTATTAATAATGGGGGAAACGAAAAGGTACAATCAGGAGAAATCTTTCAGTTAAGGAAGAAGCAACCACTCTCTACGAAGAAAGTAAAAGAAGGTTACAGCAGGATCGCCACTGGCTTCTATTCTGAGCCATATCTGATAACGTCTCTAGCTACTGTGTTACACCATCTCTCGGACTCCAGCCAGGGAGTCTTTAAGGACCAACACAAGCCAGCTCTTTGCAGCTTTCTTTCATACCACGACCCCCAAATGCCCTGGTATGGCCGAGAGTGGGGTGGGTTCTCTCTCCCTCTCAAAATGCTCTCACATGGCCACGCGTATACAGCCTCTGCCAGGGAAGTCCTACTCACTGCCTTTCGTGGCGGGGGTGTTGTTTACGAAAATGAGAGGACGAAAAGCGAATGTCCGGCGCTTTAACCGGATCCCAAATCAATGGTGCACATGGGCTCCAGTATCCTGAAGGAACAAATGGCGTATGAACCAATCGTTGGTCACCGGCTACCATGGGACTGCATCTCCTCACGATGCTCCACTGCCTTGTGGGTTAGACCTTTAGGTCGAAGGTTTGGGGTGTGGCGCCCTAAGAAAACTACCTGCTTCGGTTTGGGCACCCGGGAGTATCTCAGCCCACACACAAAAACATGATGAACAGTCTACTTATGGAAAATATTTTTTTCGCCCCGATTAACAATTAGAAGAGTCGATCATGTTGGTTCTCTACACTAGTTGGGTATAGTTAAGCGAATAATTACACTTGAGTATTGTATATAGGTTTCGAAGAAAGCAAGTTTTACTTAGAGAAGCTTATTGTTTAATTAGACGTGGGGTCTGAACAGAGGGGGCTGCAACACGTACTTAGGATCCCGATTTTGAGAAAACTTGGATAACTTTTTGAATATATATTAAATCATAAAATGTAGAATTATGTTGTTCTTAGAACGCTTGAACATTGTTTAAACTACTTTCTAGGTGACCATACTACATAATAACCAAATTTTAGAATTGGAAATCGATCTCACTCACCGAAATTCCAACATATTACTACTAATATATATAAGATGAACATCGCGGTAAATTTTCAGTCGTAAAAGTAGTTTAGTGTTAATCATTTTCCTGACGCAATTAATAATGGTTATCTATCTCAATTCAGTTGATTTCATCTCTGTATTAAATACATAGTTTCAATCTTGACAGTAGACTACATTTTCTTTTCTTACTCAAACAACTTATAATGAGCTTAGTGTTCAAGCGCATAAATCATTACAAAATAAACCATACTTGTTTCTTGTATCAATCGCTTTTTAAAGTCACCTTATTTCTTTAATACTGTATTGATACCTTTTCGTCAACTGACATAATTTAAGCTTGACTTGTCTACTTTTTTATCTTTTCCGCATACCATCGACTTTATATTCTCTTACCATCTTACAAACGAAAGGTTTAAGTAGCGATATCTACCCATTTTTGATCTACACAGTGCATTCTTACACATTTCTATTGTGTTCTGTGTATGTATCTCTGTGTGTATATTTTGTTAAGTCTTCACAAATTGTCCTTATAGTAAACTTCAGGTCATTTTTTTTACAGTTACCGTGATTGAGAGTATACTTATTTCGGAAATCAATTAGTTTTTGTATGTCATGTAAAGTGATCAAATGTACACTTCGATCGATCAAAATTTCTCTCTTCAATTATTTTTCTGGTTAGAACATAAATTCACATTACTTTGAAATTTTCTAAATTATTTTTCTGTTCTATTTTGTCATTGCAAATTTATTTATTTTTCGGCATTCTTTTTTTCCATTTTAGTTTCGTTTCATTGAAAAATCTATTTTTAAATGATCGATCTAAATGTTTTACTGACTACTGATTTGTTTGATTATAGAGAACTACGAGATTAGGATTATTAGTAGTAACCAACTCACTAATTGAGTCTATTTCTTCGAAAACAATATACTTTTCCATATATTATAAACCTTAGATCATTCACTTGTCGACTGATTTTATTATCTATAGAACGATGATAAACCAATCAATGGTAGGATTGTAGACGGTAGATATTGACGAATTCATATTAGTCTAGTTGCTTAGACTACCATAATTGGGGTAGATATCTAACCTATGGTTCTGTTGTGCTAAGTTGATTGCTTAAACCATAAAGTTAAGCTTGTGTATGTTTGAAGGCTTCATATATATATATATATATATATATATATATATATATATATATATATATATATATAGTCTCCTAGTTAAATGACAGTCACTGGCCTTTTTTAAAATTGAAATGAGCTCCATTTAAATATTTCTTTTCCCCATCAGATTCCTCGTTATCTCTTATCTCTTTTTCTATTTAAACAGACGCAAACTTTTATTTCGAAAATTGCACGGGTAAGTGAATACTTTTTCTCGAGTATATCCATGTCGATTGTATACGTGTGTATATTTTTTTTTCATTTTATCAGTGCTTACATGATTGCAATAACTGTACGATATTACTTGTCTTAGTTATAAAATATTTCAATGAAAATATCACTACATTCAGTGTACATTTTTACTCCTCCTGAGCTTTATTTCATGTGATTTGTGATTTAGTCCGTTTTCTGTCTAGCTTTTCTTCACTTTACATGAATTATACTTCAATATCTTGACGTCTCGTATATTATTGTGTCGTTAATATATATATGGTCAGTCAGCTGCAACATAGGACCAGGCACATATATGCATCGGTCCAAGTTGCCACACTTCATTAGCAAAGGAAGATGAACACCAAATTCATAGAAGTAGTCACTTCAATGGTAGTAATGTATAAAACAAAGAATGTGTATAAGGATATAGTACCGGAAGAAAGAATTAGTTCGTAGCAAGAAAGGTATAAAGCAATTTCAATCTCACGGTTGATTCTGAGCCATGTCGTCCAGAGTCTCCAACCATTGGTTACGATAGCCACGCGGACCCCTACCAAGTAGTCTGTATCTACCAACATGGCTCAGACCAGAAGTTAGTGACTTCAAGGACTGATGCTATGTTTTGGTTTGGCCTCCCCTAACTTTCTTCTAACCGTCTCCAACACTAGTCAGCATTGTGCGTCGTGGTAATCGGTGTTCAGGCATATGTAACACGTGACCCAACCATCTCAGTCGATGAAGATTCAAAACCTCATCAACTGATTTACCATCATTCACTAATGCCCCGCGTCTAACCTCACTATTACTTACACCGTGATCCCAGCAGATGCGAGCAATATATATTACTTATTGATGTGTACTACTACTTTTTTGTAATCAGCTAGACTTGCATGCATATACATCTATTAATATTGTAAAAATGTACATTTTGACGTAAGACAACACAAATAAATTTCAAGTTTTTTCTCTGTAAAAGAGTAACCAGATATTTTTTCATGACAATATCTCCTTATTTCTCTTCTTTTCGTTGCTAGTACAAATACGAAATTTATACGTAAAAATGTAGTGAATGCTAGGTAATCTATTCTCATATAAATAAAAATAATTTGTGTTGAAGTGAAATATAGGTGGTGATGACTATATGTACTTTAACTGTTACTACTGCTACTACAGTGTGGTGGTAGTTATTGCTTTATTCTGTCTGCGACCATTCAAACCAGTAGGATAAAGCTACACTTGATTCTTTTAGATGCGTTACTTTTGTGTGTAATGTAATTTAATTTTGCTTCTCAGGAGATTGCGTTATAACTCGTATATGTCACTAAGTAGCATTAGGTCGGACTGTTCCAAATGTTTTCCATCTATCATGTAATCCCATTTGAACTAAAAACCCAGTTTATTTATTTATTTATTTTAACACATGGATATTGGTACAAGGAGGCACCAAATACATATGCGCCACACGAATCTCAATTGATTTGTGTGAGGGCTGTGATACTCCCGGATGCCCAAACCGAAGCAGGTGGTTTTCTTAGGGCGCCACACCCCAAACCTTCGACCTAAAGGTCTAACCCACAAGGCAGTGGAACATCGTGAGGAGATGCAGTCCCATGGTAGCCGGTGACCAACGATTGGTTCATACGCCATTTGTTCCCATAGGATACTGGAGCCCATTTATTTATTTATTTATTTATTTATTTATTTTAACACATAAGTATAGGTACAGAGAGGCACCAAGTACATATGCGCCACACAGATCTCAATTGATTTGTGTGAGGGCTGTGATACTGCTCGGGTGCCCAAACCGAAGCAGGTGGTTTTCTTAGGGGGCCACACCCCGAGCCTTTGACCTGAACGTCTGACCCACAAGGCAGTGGAGCATCGTGAGGAGATGCAGTCCCATGGTAGCCGGTGACCAACGATTGGTTCATACGCCATTTGTTCCATTGATTTGGGATCCGGTTAAAGCGCCGGACGTTCGCTTTTCGTCCTCTCATTTCCGTAAACAACACCCCCGCCACGAAAGGCAGTGAGTAGGACTTCCCTGGCAGAGGCTGTATACGCGTGGCCATGTGAGAGCATTTTGAGAGGGAGAGAGAACCCACCCCACTCTCGGCCATACCAGGGCATTTCGGGGCAAAACCCAGTATAAATAATCATTACATATTTCCACGTTAACAAACTTATTTTACTTACAATCCTAGACTTATACTATACATTTTTTGTTAAATATAGTATTTTTAGTTGTTGAATTCATTAGTCAATGTAGGCTAGACCGCCATTGAAAACCTGGAAGCACTGGATGACCGTTGGGTAGATATAGCTATCTACCTCAGACGATGGATGAACAGTTGCGCAAGAGCATTGGTCGATTAAAGTTAGACATTAGTACCGACTCCAAAATGCGAGATCGTGAATGTTCACTTTTGAGGAGTTCCATACTAGGACGAAATGGCCGTCCATTACTTCCAGGTTTTCAATGGTGGTCTTGCTTACATCGAACCATGAATTCTCCACAAACCCCCATTCTGATCAAAATATAGTATTTGTCTCCTTTTTATCTATTTTTACTGGTTATATGTACATAAAACAGAAAATTTCAAACTTATTTGTCGTGATTCCCTTTATTTCACTGAAAATTTTTTTTCATGCATGTTTGTATTTATGTATGTAGTCATTTTACGATTTTTTGGCTGTTGTCAGTATAAAAGCATATTTTGTCTATCAGTAGTGGTCGTCCAATCGATCTGTCTGGCAAAAAGAATGACTCATTTTTGAAAAAAAAAGCAGAAAACTGTTTCTTCTATTTGATTTCCTTTATTACTATTGCTGATTAAATATACTTTGTCTCTGTCCTTGCCTTTCCATTTCCTTTCCTCCTCCTCTTTTCCCTCTCTCTCTGGCTTATTTGGTTACTTTTGCTATCAAACTTTGATATCAAATATTTATTGTCTTCTTTTTGTTAGTTAGTTTTGGTTCCTCCATGTGTGATCCATAAGAATGGATTCTACCTGTTCCATGAAATATAATCAAGTTGTACAGTAAATAAAGAATAGAAATCATTCTGCAATTCACTTCATTTAATAAGGGGAAGAAAGAATTAATGGATTAGTAGTAATAATGATAATGATGGGAATAGTTGTCATTAGTGACTTATTAATTCAGTTGTAGCCTCAATGACCAGCGGAATATTTGTTGTTTTGTTAAACAAGGGTAAAATAAGGGACAATTCAGGTAAACTTGTATTATTTTTGTGAGAATTTTTAATTTCCTGTTGTTGATATTCAGGACTAATTGAGCAGTCTCTGTTGCCATATATATATATTCTAAATGGATAGTTTCTGCATAGCTTGTGTTCGTTGTTTCAGCTCTCTTTTAGAAAAGTCATCCCGTTTTCGTATGACAAGAAGCGTGCTATTAATGTGCCTATAAAGATTATTGGGCAAGACTATAATTTGTGAATGACCAAAGTAGGGTTTAAAGACGGTTAAAAATTAGTTTTAGAAATTAAAATCGATATCTAGAGTTAAAAGTTATGCTCATAAATTAGAGCTGAAGTTTTCATTACAAACTGAGATCAGCTATAAATCAAAAATCCTATTTGGCCATATAGATGAATGAATTGTTAAGTCGGCTTTCCGAGAACTGCAACAGAGCCTCCAGAGGCCCTGAAGGAGCCAAAGAGTCTTAGCCAATCAGAGCACGATGGAGCTTTCTAGAATGCCAACGTGGCGTGCTACTATTGGTCAGTAGCATAATATGTCTTTTAGCGGATTGGCCAAAATATGATGTTGATTCAACAAATGTTAACATCTATAAATACCCATGTTTTTCTGTACAAAAATGAACCTTGGAGTAAAGTACTTTTCGCATACTTTGCGCCTTCTCTCTCATGTTCAGGTCGCTGTATAGTTCTAGCTTGGGGGTTTTCAAGAATAGCTTAGGAATCGAGTATAGCGTTCAAAATCGCAAGACTTATCAGTGGCGACGAGGATGACTACAATGAATATTTCTTTGGAGCAGCTAGAAGCTTATATGGTGCGTCAAGAAAAGAGGTTTGAACAATCGCAAATCAGAATAATGGAAGCCTTGATGCAGAAATTGTGCCTTTCCCAACAAAACCCTGCTTCTGTTGAATCACAAATATCTCATACTGATTCAATCATTAATGTCATACATGAATTTAATTTTGATGGTGCAGCAGGTGTAACTTTTGATTCTTGGTTTAAGAAGTATGAAGATTTATTTTATATTGATCTCTGCAAACATGATGACGCTTCTAAAGTCAGAATACTTTTAAGAAAACTTGGGACTATGGAACATGAACGCTATAGCAACTTCATTCTTCCGAAGAATCCACGAGACTTTAGTTTTGATGAAATAGTTAAAACCCTGTCTCAAATCTTTGGAGAACAATCATCTCTATTTAATATTCGTTATCAATGCTTGAAGATAACGAAAGAACCAGGAGATGACTGGGTGAAACATGCAGGAATGGTGAACCGAGAGTATGAGAGGTTCAAATTGTCTTCTATGACTGAAGACCAGTTTAAATGTCTAGTGTTTGTCTGTAGTCTGCATTCACCCGAGGATGCTGACATCCGAACAAAGATCCTAAGCAAAATCGAACATTGTCCTAACATGACCCTGCAAGATGTAGCGACCGAATGTCAAAGTTTAGTGAATTTAAAGCATGATACCTCGATGGTGGAGAACAGTGACGGTTCCTTCATGTCCATGCAGTCGAGAGAAAAACCTCAAAAGGTTCCAGCACGCAGAATGATCATAATCACAGCGAAAAGCCCTCATCCCCATGCTGGTTATGTGGCGGTTGGCACTTCAAAAGGTTTTGTCCGTTTAAAAATCATCGTTGCACTATGTGTTCCAGAAAAGGGCACAAAGAAAGTCATTGCAAAACTTGAAAACGCCGTCAACAGAAAGTGCATTCTAAAAGATTCAAGCCACAAACAGCTAAAGTAACAGTAGCTCTTCACCGAGCCGGCTCCCATCACTGTAGAAAGTATGTTTCTCTCAAGATTAATGGGTGTGATGCCCGCTTACAACTAGACACAGCCTCCGATATAACACTTATAAGCAGGAGAACGTGGGAGAAAATTGGGAGACCGAGAATATATCCAACTCTTCAATCAGCACATAGTGCGTCTGTGGGAATTCTAAACATTGCTGGTGAAATTCATTTTGAAGTCACGGTCAAAAATTTTACGGAGAAGGGCGTAATATTTCTGACAGACCGTCCATCACTCGACTTATTGGGGCTTGATTGGATAGAAAAGTTGAAGTTAACAGACCACCCCATAGACTCGATCTGCAACAATGTCAGTACGTCGAAATTTGAGAAGGGCACATTCAAAAGAGCACTACTGAAAGCGGAAGGAGAGGGGACAAGTCAGTCTAACCCCATTGTCCGAGAAGGAAAATCCCCTGCTGAAGCGATGTTCGGGAGAAGCATCCGAACTACATTCGACGTCACGTTACCACCTAAACAAATGGATGGACGCAAACAAAATCAGAATATCCGAAGTTTTAATGTCAGTGATAAAGTGCTCGTCAAATCATACACTGGGAAAAATCGTTGGGAACCGAGAGTCATTGAGGATAGAATGAGGAATGTTTTATACCAAGTGCGTGGGACTTTCGGAATGTGTATTAAACACATTAGCCGAATACGCAATGAGAAAAAAGGACTCTAGACACGGTAGATAGTCAAGTGTGGCTTCCGCTAGATATAATTACAGATACTCCAGTGACAGGAACCCCAAAAGACAATCATAGACGCTAGATACCAAGAAAGTCCGGAAACAGCAGAAAACCAGTTATCAAGTTGCAAGTAGATCCGAAGGAGAGGTCTTATTTTTTGGAAGGGGGGAGGTGTTAAGTCGGCTTTCCGAGAACTGCAACAGAACCTCCGGAGGCCCTGAAGGAGCCAAAGAGTCTTAGCCAATCAGAGCACGATGGTGCTTTCTAGAATGCCAACGTGGCGTGCTACTATTGGTCAGTAGCATAATATGTCTTTTAGCGGATTGGCCAAAATATGATGTTGATTCAACAAATGTTAACATCTATAAATACCCATGTTTTTCTGTACAAAAATGAACCTTGGAGTAAAGTACTTTTCGCATACTTTGCGCCTTCTCTCTCATGTTCAGGTCGCTGTATAGTTCTAGCTTGGGGGTTTTCAAGAATAGCTTAGGAATCGAGTATAGCGTTCAAAATCGCGAGACTTATCATGAATTTCGCGCCAAAATCTAAGACTCTCTACCTCTTATCTAATTAGTTCGTTCACAAGTTATAGTCTTGTCAATTATTGGCGTATATTAGGGCCTGTGTTATCAGTCTTTTTATTATGGTAGCAGTTATGTTTTCTTGTCCGAATCACAACTCATACCTGATATCACTGCAGCACAAATAGAAATTTATTATATATGCACAACTCAATTATAAATGAGATGAAAATAAAGCAATAAGGAAATAATGAATAATAAATCTATAGGAGTTAAGACATTACAATTGTTTATACATCAAATGAAAACTTATAAATAAGAGAATATAAAAATCCAAGTGTCTGATATTTGTACAATAAAACGGCAAGCAATGATTCCCAATTGGATAAGTATGAAAGTCCGACTTTGCTTAAATCCTCTTCGGTATGACTGACACGTTATATGGTTTTAAGATATTGATTTAAATTCTTGACTGAGGAATAGGATTTTTGAGGTGTTGAGTTTCCTAAGAAGGTTGGTTAGATTGTACAGTTTTTACAGGCTTCAAAAACCATTGTCGATACAATCTAGATAGGTAGTTATTGCTTCACGATCTATGTCATCTTGTTGAAAAAATCAGTGCGATATGTTTTTTAAGTAAATTTTGTATTTTATACCTTCACTGTCTATGTAATTTACATGATGTATTATTAATATCCTTTGTTTTCTATCTTTCAGCACTGACAGTACTGTGTTAAGTCAAGGGTCTAGTTTCCATTCTTTGCGCATTAGTAGGGTTAAAGATGGTATTCCTAATTCACATGATAGCTGTCGATATCCTTCAGCACTACCTCTTTCCTTACAAAATCATGAGAGTCCAAATACTCAAAGAATACCACCGTGGCAGCGAAATACTTTCAATAGCGAATCCATTCGATCGATATCCGGTACAACTCATAGCAGTCTTCATAATTTACCTTCTAGTGCATTGAACAATGTTAATTCTTCAATGTTTAACCAATCAGCATTACCTAATTCAGGTTATTCAACAATTGCATCTGTTCATGATAAATCATGTTCACCAGAATCACATATTGATACTACTGATATGATCAAATCAAATCATGTTACAACTACTAGAAATTCCGGTGGTTATGCTAGTCTTAGTACGACATCTTGTACAGATAGTTCTAGTACAAATCATTTTCAAAACGAAATTCAAATTCACGAAGCATCTTCTACAGATTCATGTACTTCCATTTTAATATCATCATCTGTTGGATCGTCATCATCACCAATTTTGCATCGAATCACACGAAATATTGACGTATTTTCTAACCAAACAAGTGATATTCTAACAGAATACGATAATGATGATCCCAGAGCTACACTTGTCCCATCGATTGATTTAGATCCAGAGAAATTATATACAAATTATTGCCTACAAGAAGGAACATCAGTTAATTGTGATCAAATACGTCGTGATATTGATCGCCAATTTCCTTTCCATGAATTATTCAGTGAAAAAGGAGGTCATGGGTCAGTTCCACAGTCATTATCAATCTGTCTGTCTGTATTTATTCTCCTTTTGTGTTCTTAATAGGCAAATAATTAAAGCTAAGTAAATTGCGTAAATACATGCTCGTGTATCACAGCTGATGAACTGCACGTACTTTTAAAGCAGTGCTCACATGAATTTGTTTCAGCGGACACGAATTATTTGTTATGATTAACGATTTACCGCAAAAATAACTCACTTCAAATAAAATACAACCAATTCCAATTTTATTTTCATGCAATATTTTGTTTGTTCTCATTTTCATTCATACTAAATCGACCAGCTTTCTTTCAAGTCTTGATCAAATGATAATTCCTGCCTCAACTTCAATAACTAAATTTTTCTATCTCAGTATCATCATTCTATAACACTAGCATGTGTATAGACGATTGGAATAATTATTCTTTTCTATTTTCTTCCTCAACTTCCTATCCTTCTCTTTACACATTTCATTAATTCAACATACACTTACTATTATTATTACTAAATGTTGTTAATTTCATTAGAAATAATCATTAACGGACAGTGAAGTGCAAGGCGGTTCAATTATTGCTAAGAACATAAAACAAGAACTCCGCCTGTAGCTCTTCCAGAGTTACTGCCGGTCCCAAGCCCGGGTAAAGGAGGAGGGTTGGGCATGGGGTTAGCGTCCCCATCCCGTAGAAACCTAACTCGCTAAAAAAACGCTAACCAGAAAAAATAACTCAAACCATTTAAACTCTGCCCTGGGAGTTAGAGGTAATATGACGCTTCATGGTGAAAGCCGAGTTCCTTCGGAAGCCACGAGGCCGATGCCCCTTCTAACAACCAGAGCAACAATTTTTATAGGTACATGGAACGTCCGGACAATGTGGGAGAACGGGAAGACCAGTCAAATAGCAACGGAAATGAGGAGAAACAACTTGGCAGTACTGGGAATCAGTGAAACCCATTGGACCCAAGCTGGACAACAAAAGCTAAATACGGGAGAGATGCTGCTATACTCCGGTCACGAAGAGGAAAATGCTCCACACACTCAGGGAGTTGCTCTAATGCTATCCAAAGTAGCACGAAATGCACTTGTAGGATGGGAATCTCACGGATCCAGAATCATCAAAGCATCATTCAAAACAAAGAAGGAGGGTATCACAATGAACATTATCCAATGTTATGCACCCACCAATGATAGCAACGACGACGTTAAGGATCAATTCTATGAGAGGCTGCAATCAATCATAGAGAAGTGCCCAAGAAAGGACCTCACCATTCTGATGGGAGATCTAAACGCCAAAGTCGGAATGGACAACACCGGATATGAAGACATCATGGGACTACATGGACTGGGAGAGAGAAACGAAAACGGGGAAAGATTTGCAAATCTGTGTGCATTCAATAAATTGGTCATAGGCGGTACAACATTTCCACACAAACGTATACACAAAGCTACGTGGATCTCACCTGACCACACCACAGAGAACCAGATAGATCACATTTGCATCAATAAAAAGTTCCGAAGGACAATGGAAGAAGTGAAAACCAGGAGAGGATCGGACATAGCTTCAGATCATCACCTGGTTGTGGCCAAACTGAAACTGAAGCTAAAGAAGAACTGGACAACTGGACAAACAGCACCACAAAGGTTCAATACAGCCTTCCTTCGAGATACTGAAAAATTCAATGAATTAAAGGTGGCTCTCAACAACAGGTTCCAAGCCTTACAGGATCTACTGAAGGAAGAAGAAACTACTATGGAGGATAGCTGGAAAGGTATCAAAGAAGCATTAACTTCAACGTGTCAAGAGGTTCTGGGCCCCAAGAAGCATCATCACAAGGAATGGATCTCTACAGAAACACTGGACAGGATCAAAGAAAGAAAGAACAAGAAGACAGCAATTAACAACAGTCGGACAAGAGCAGAGAAAGTCCAAGCACAAGCTGGGTACATAGAAGCAAACAAGAAAGTGAAGAAGAGCATTAGAGCTGATAAGCGAAAATACGTGGAAGAACTAGCAACGACGGCGGAAAAAGCTGCAGGAGAAGGAAATATGAGACAGCTTTACGATACGACGAAGAAGCTTGCAGGGAAATATAGTAAACCAGAGAGATCAGTCAAAGACAAAGAACGAAGACCAATCACTGAGATTCAACAACAGCGGAACAGATGGGCAGAGTACGTCGAGGAACTCCTGAACAGGCCGGCTCCAATGAATCCACCGGACATCGAAGCAGCACACACAGATCTTCCTATAAATGTCAATCCACCAACGACAGAAGAAATCAGAATGGCCGTCAGACAAATCAAGAGCGGGAAAGCAGCAGGACCTGACAATATACCAGCTGAAGCGTTGAAGTCAGACATCGAAGTAACTACAAGCATGCTTCATCTTCTATTCAAGAAGATTTGGGATGAGGAACAAGTGCCGATGGACTAGAAAGAAGGACACCTCATCAAGATTCCAAAGAAAGGAGATCTGAGCTAGTGTGAAAACTACAGAGGCATTACACTACTGTCAATACCGGGTAAAGTCTTCAACAGAGTGCTACCGAACAGGATGAAAGACGCAGTAGACGCTCAACTTCGAGATCAACAAGCTGGATTCCGTAAGGACCGGTCGTGCACAGACCAGATTGCGACACTACGGATCATCGTCGAACAATCAATCGAATGGAACTCGTCATTGTACATCAACTTCATTGATTATGAGAAGGCATTTGACAGTGTAGATAGGAGGACGTTATGGAAACTTCTTCGACACTACGGAGTTCCTGAGAAGATTGTCAACATTATCCGGAACTCATACGACGGACTACAGTGCAAAGTAGTGCATGGAGGACAGCTGACAGAGGCATTCCAAGTAAGGACCGGAGTAAGACAAGGCTGTCTACTCTCTCCCTTCTTGTTTCTTCTGGTGGTCGATTGGATTATGAAGACCTCGACATCTGAGAGAAACTACGGCATACGATGGACAGCTCAGAACCAATTAGACGACTTGGACTTCGCAGATGACCTAGCCCTCCTATCACATACACACGAACAAATGCAGATAAAGACAGCCAGCATAGCAGCAGTCTCTGCATCAGTAGGCCTCAACATACACAAAGGGAAAACCAAGGTCCTCAAACACAACACGGAGAACAGCAACCTAATCACTCTTGATGGCGAAACTCTGGAAGACGTGGAATCCTTCACATACCTGGGAAGCATCGTCGATAAACAAGGAGGTTCAGATGCAGACGTCAAGGCGAGGATTGGAAAGCAAGGTCAGCATTCCTTCAATTGACGAACATATGGAACTCAAAACAACTTTCAACCAATATCAAAGTCAGAATCTTCAATACGAACGTCAAGGCAGTTCTACTGTACGGAGCTGAAACTTGGAGAACTACAACAACCACCATCAAGAAGGTACAGGTATTTATTAATAGCTGTCTACGCATGATACTCAACATCCATTGGCCGGATACCATCAGCAACAGCCTTTTGTGGGAGAGAACAAACCAGCTTCCAGCTGAAGAGGAAATTAGGAAAAGACGATGGAAATGGACAGGACATACATTGAGGAAATCATCAAACTGCATTACGAGACAAGCGCTAACTTGGAATCCTGAAGGGAAGCGGAAAAGAGGAAGGCCAAAGAACACATTACGTCGGGAAATAGAAGCAGATATGAAAAAGATGATTAAGAACTGGAAAGAGCTTGAAAGGATTGCCCAGGACAGGGTTGGATGGAGAATGTTGGTGAGCGGCCTATGCTCCTTCACGAGGAGTAACAGGCGTAAGTAAGTAAGTAAGTAACATAAAACAATGGTACCATACCAGTAAATATTTACAACTATTTAAGTGGGTGTGCTGTATTCATGGGTATACATATATATCCTCATTGTTTGATTGTCTCAGCAGAGATGATTTGCCACCGTTCTATTATGTATATCTAATTTTCTCGACAAAACACACTCAAATGGTTATGGGCTATCATGTCGTGTAATACTCTCTATGTGTGAGTGATGTAGCCGGGTAGGTTGATACAATAATAACTAACGGATTGGACTGAACAACACGAATAAACAACATACTAGAACTAATCTTTCCTCTTGGTACATTTTAGTTTAAAGTTTTTTAGGAGAATTCACTTGGCTCTATGGCTGAGAAGTGTTGTAGTTTGGTTGAAATACTATTATAGATGTATTTTATAAAAAACCTTAACTTAAAATTAGAAAATGTTTGGGTAGCTTACTCTGAATAATCCAGAAACATAATAAACTATGCAATAAGACTGTTCGAACTATGTCACCTTGTCATTTAAAATATTTATTTATTTGAAGACATAAATATTGGTACAAGGAGGCACCAGATAAATATGCGCCACACAAATGTCATTTGATTTGTGTGAGGGCTGTGATACTGCCCGGGTGCCCAAACCGAAGGCACTTTCTGTCGGTTATTTGATTTCGATTTACTAGTTAGTGCTTAAATAATGATAATCCTCAAAACACTGTACCTAATAACTTTTAAAACATATAAATGTTAATTACTGGTTCTCAATTTAAATTAATAATGGTATTATCCTATGAGAAAGCTTTTTAATATAACGTATGTACACATAAGAGGACGGTGTAATTGTAATTTGTAACTAATTTGTTTCAGTCTTTCATCATAAAAAAAATGGGAATCGGAACAGTTATTTGTATTATAGACTAATACTAGTTGGAGAGCCATTGAAAGTCAAGGGGCATTAGAAGAATATTTCATTTTAGTATGGGACTCAGGTTACGCGGGAATCTTTAAAGCAGTAATTTAAAATAGATTGGTCTCCGCTTTTAATTTCGGTCAGTTCGATGCTCAGTATCATTGATATATTTAAATTTCACCACTCAGATCCTTCCACTAGAACTTCAGTGATTCATCTCCAAGTTATTTATTAATGAGGACACGGTTATCGTTGAGTTGATTGTGTGGAGTACCCTCTGGTTTTCAGTGATCACTGAGCTATCAATTTTTCATAAAGAAAGTACGTTAAACAAATCGCAACGGTGCACCCGATGAAAATTTTAATTTTTCTCCAATTATTCATTTTAACACATACTTGCAATCGCCGCCTTTATGTCTCTTTTATATCGTTTCCAACTAAATGCCACTATATTTTGAGGTCATGCTCCTCTACGAATCACTTCAGATTGACATTTAAACAAGCCACTATTGTCTTTATAACAACTATCGCATATTATTATAGGAGTAAATTATAAATAATTTCTAGATATATTTAATATTAATGTCACATATTCACATTGTTTCTGCATCATGGTCTAAAACAACATAAAAGGTTGCTTCATTTGTTAAATGGTTGTCTACCACGAAATATATACATATATTTATTAATCCTGCCATCTTGTATGCTTAAATTTGCATACGCTTAAGTTTTTTTACAATTTATCAGCCTTGTTGAAAACTATATATTTTTTATGATAAATAAATGACCTACCAACTTTTTTCTCGATTGATGTTTTTTACTGAAAAAAAGTTAAATAAACAAACGGAAAGATTTATGCGTATTCTTTGTTTTGCGACAGAATTTTATATATATACATAATTGTTCTGTTTATGAAATGTAAATGGGCATATATTTTAATTTTCGATTGATTGCAAGGCTACTACTGATTCACACACATTGTCATAGAATAAAAATTTCTCGGAAATCATAATATTGATTTGTGGGGTGGTTTAAACGTATGTAAAATCACTGCACTGTTGTTATGATATACATACGTTAATTCTCAATCAGTTTTTGGATTGTGATTTGGTTAATTTTTCATAAATTGAATTCAGTCATATTTGTATCTCCTGTAAAATGAACAGTGTCGGATTCCTTAAATTCGTCTGAATGTTGTAAATAAAGCAAGTGGTTGAGTATGGTGCGTTTATAAACACAATTGTTAATGAATTTGTTAGCGTTTCGTGTTACTTATGCAATATAGTGTTTCGATCAAGCTCCTGCAACAGTTATTTAGTATTTACTGTGTCTATGACTAATAATAGTTTGAAAATAACTGATATAAAGATAATTATGTGATCTTTCTAGGAATAATTAGGTGTTCAAATAGTTTTTTAGTCAACCGGTTATACGAATTTAGTACGGCCTCCAGCAAAATGGCAATAACGCAAGAGAAATCATTCAAATCAGATAAGCTTAGTAATAGCTAGCTAGATAATTATATGTTTATATACCATACAACTTACTATCTTTCATTATTTTATTTTTGTATTTTAGTCAAGAAAGTTTATACACCTTACTAAAAGCTTATACAATTAGACATCCAGAGAAAGGTTACTGTCAAGGTCAAGCCCCACTAGCAGCTGTTCTACTCATGTTTATGCCGGAAGTTGATGCCTTTTGGACTTTCAATGAAATTTGTGAACGTTATTTAGAATCTTATTATGATGATGGTCTTGTAAGTTATGGTTTTTGCATTTTTGTTTATTTTTTTCCTACTTCTGAGTGTACTGAAGTCGTTTAAATTGAAAAGCAATAAAAAAGAAGATATTTGCGTTTCCGTATTGTTTTTACATCAGTTGAACATTAAAGTACAATCTTCTTGTTCTTTTCAAGCAAATAATGTTTTATGATTAATTAAAAGCTAAAATTAACACCATACGAAATAAAAGCTAATGACGAATCAAATATTTAGTGATTAAAGGATTTGGCATTCGATAATAAAGTCTCGCTATTGGAAGCCAGCTCAGTAATTTAGAGTTCAGGCGTTTGTGTGTTAGACTGAAGGTTCTTGATTCAATTTTGGGTGTTGGGGTTCTAGACGCGCGCTGCTGTGGAGTCCGAGTCTAGGACAAAACCGTTTGGAGCTTCTTGGCTTTCAATGATGTTGCATCTAAGATCAATTTATGGTTTATATTACATAGTGAAGTCTCAAATTCAAACCTCATTCTATTTGATCCAGTTTGGCCAGCCGTGTAATATCCCACTAATCTTAGGCACATAAAGTGTGATTTAAAGCCTTATATATAAATCTGATCCTGGTTATTGAGTTTCATTGTATAGAATGTGGCTAATGATATTTATGTAGTTACTGGTTTCTTCTTTGTTTCTTAATTAGGAACGAGTACAAATTGATGGGGACGTCTTATATGCTCTTCTTAAGTCGATACATCCTCCAATATACAAATTTTTAGTAAGTCTTATTCTGAAACATGTGTTGGATTTCTCTTAATAACCATCTTGCTGAATTCATGTAATTTTTAAAAATAGTGAGTTATCAAAATTTTTTACTTTTAGTGAATGCAGTTTTTCACAACTTTCGATAAATTCCTAACTTACTTAGGTTCAGTCCCGTATGATTGTATAACCATGTGTGGATACTGTCGTGAAGTTTCAAACTACGACAAAGTAATTTCACAGAGCTCATTAGTTTAGTTAACATCAGCTTGTGACGAAAGATATCTTTCTTCAAATTATATCTTTATTCACACACACTTGGTTGCTTTCCTGACTGACACAGTTGTTGTTATTGTTGTCATTATTATTTTTCATTACTGACCTTGTTTATCAATCAAAGTAAGATGACCTAGTTATTCGCTAAATAAACAACATAATATCCACATGACTGAAAGAAAGAAGTTTAAAAATAAACATTGTAAAACAAAACAAAATAAAAGATTTACGCACAAACTTATTCAGTAGAATATACTAAACTTCAGTTGTACATTCAATCAAACGTTCTATGAATTTACCGTTTGTCTGGACTTGAAAAACATTTGTAAGTAATATGGCTGTCACACCTCCATTTCGAATGTTTAAAACGGACCTGAAAGTCCTTGTATGTTATGCTCTACGATCTTGTGAATACACATTGTTTTTATCAACAATCATACGAGCAATAAGTAGACGATGGTAAATCTTCAGAAAAATCGCGCATTCGGTTTTTTCATTATTTCTGGAGGTTGATCGTTTTCGGTTGCGAAAATTATGTACTTTTTGCGATTTACTAAATGATCTTTTACTGTCGTTGTTTCGTATTTCCTAAAAAAAATGGGGGATGAATAAATTTTTTTAAAACTTAGTATTATTACGATTACCACTGATGCTACTACCAAGTGATCCTTTCATTTTTAGTCTAGCGAAATACATAGTTGTTCAAAAACAGGAACTAGACCTAATATAGATAATCATCAAGAAAATACATATCGTTTTAATTAGTATACGTTAATGTTTACGTCATTATCTACTGCATTCATTTTTATTAGTATCTTTTCTTAATTAACAGACCATATTATGTGCGTGTGTGTTTCCTTTGTAGTCATGCTAATTATCAGCTGATACATCATTTTGTATGTTATAGGTGGATCAGGAGGAAAATTTCTGAATGGTTTAGTTCATTGCTACTGATAATCATTTCAGGGAGATAACTACTTAAACTGTAGACTTCATTAATTGTTACTACGGTTTTCTCATACTTGAAAGCTGAATACCGACAATAATAATAATAATAATAATAATAATAATAATAATAATAATAATAATAATAATAATAATGATAGGTGGTACTATTAATAATAACTTTATTTACTCCTCTATGTTTGGTTAAAGAAAATAATTCTCTGCACAAAATATGCTTTTTGTAACAAGTTCCTGTCCTATATTCATCTAGCGTGTGAATATTTAAAATTTATATATATATATATATATATATATATATATATATATATATATATATATGATTCATTAACTGGCTGTCATTCATTTCAATTCGTAGGCATTTACTTCTAACTTTGCTTTCATGACAATCTTTCCGATTGCATAATTTTATTGAGGTATAAGTTCCAATCTAGCTTTGTTTACCAACGATTTCGTTGACAGTAATCAGCTTCGTCATTTGTTGTGAAGCTTTTGTTAAAATCCAAAATGTGTCAGTAGATTAGGTGGTTATCATAAATTACTACTCAACTGAAACAAATTAATACACAAACGTGTATTGAAAGATTTGCATATTTAAAAAGTAGTGAACTCAAAAGTTTATAGCATGCCTCTACTATTGCCACATGTTTAAGTTCATGGATGACAATACCAGTCGCTCCAAAGTTATTTAGACTCTTCCATCCTTATTGTAAGATTTATAGTTTTAAATTACTACTCTATATTTACATTCAGTTACTATATATTTGTTATGACTTTTGAAATGTTAATCACCACGTGACCAAACCACCAATTAGATACACGACTTATAGGACCTTGGCACTGTGCCAAACCAATGATGCGTTAACCATTACCAGCATCCTGGAGTCAACTCGCATTCCTTATCGGTTCTTCTCGCCTAGCCCTGCCCATTGAGTCCAGAACGCAATCTCAGCTTCCACTGTATGAACCATATATTTCAGACATACTTGGTGTACATAAAAGCAAACTAGACTATAACATGCCATAAAATGAAAAATAATAATTGTACAAGATCAAGCTCCCAAATGCTCTGGTACGACTGAGAGTGAAACAAATTTGCTCTCACATGTCCATATATATATATATATATATATATATATATATATATATATATATATATATATATATATATAAACTATAAATAGTTCCCGAAAGCTACTCATAGATTAATCTTTTTCGGATATAACAATATTAATACTAAACTTTAAGTGTTTTGTAAATCAAGTATGTAACTTAATAAGAGAGTCATTTATTGAACTAGAAAAACGTTTTCCAGTCATAAAATTCTGTTGATGAATCTTCTTAAGTAACAAAAATTCAAATTATCAGTAAAGTTTCATTCTGCTACATGGGCCCCAACCATTAAACTTTTATACTATAAAGTGTAAACCAAGTATTTTACTTCCCGGCAAATTAATAATAAGTAGTATAATAAAAATGTGAAAATAAATTTGCGAAAATTTGAATTGTTTATCAATAATCACATTATATACATTGCATAATGGAAGGATGACTTAGGTTTAAACCCTGCTCTACTTAGTTTGGCTTGAGCAACTGGCTAATATCACTAAACCTCACACTAAAGAAGTAGCTCCAACTCAAGTACATAAATATATACCTGGTAAACGAGCTAATAATGATATCTGTAGTATATTCTAACTTTTTCTTACCATTCTTAGCTGTTAGCGGGATACAGATTGGATTAAAGGATGTTCCGTGCAGGATTTAGAGAAGACTATAATCTTCTTGTGTAGAATTTATAAATATAGTATCGTATTGTTTTGCTCCCATTCAACCTTTTTTCATTCGAAATATAATTACGTTCCTGGTCAAATGTATTCTGATTTGAGGGAATTGTCAAGTGAAATAAAGTGTCCAAAGAGTACTAAGCGATAAGAGTAGCTGGGTTGTTATAAGAGAGATCATAACATCATCTTATATAGATTTTTTTATCTATCTATCTGTGTTGTTCCAAGTCGGTATTCATAAAATTTATTTCCAAACAATTTTTGTAGCGAAAATATTCAGTGGAACCAAATCTTGTCGTTTTGGAATGGTTCATGTGCGCTTACACACGAACTTTACCTTGGACAGCTGTATTAAGAATATGGGATTTGTTCTTCTGTGATGGTATGCTAAATATTGTATATTTTTTACTACTATTTCATATCTTTGTATGTATATGGTTTATTTATTCATCATGGAACTTGACATTTAATTTACTGGGAAATGGATATGAATTAATTTAATTTATAAGTGGTTATAAATTTTACTACGGACTCTACTAGATTATTCAAATGGTGTATTTAAAATCATGTAATATTTCTAAAAGATTTTACAGTTATTATGAAATATATACATAACGTTTATGTAACTCATCTATCAATTATGAGCATTGAGCTACACTGATAAAACCATATTGTAGCGACTGCCTTCAGGTAATCATTCAAATTTGAGATTGCTCTTACAAAAGGTTTAAGGAAAATTAAAAGTTCAGTTAAGGATAGTATGTTAAAAAAAAAACTTGTTTTGATTAGTTTCTAAAATGTTTAAGCTTTTTGTGCAACCACACAGTGAATTTAACGTTGTGTGTAAAGTAAATTACCAGAAATACGTGCTCCATATGCAGATTGTGTTTGAGCGTGCATGATGTGATTCAGGGCATATTCAGGAGTAGTTTTGTGACTATAAGGTATTTTCGAATGTTTACGGAATGTTCTCACCCTTATGTTTTTAAACACAACTTTTTAACCTTAACTCTTGACTGTAACCGATCTCCTAATCCGTAATTCTAATCTTTTTTCATTTAGTTTCACCTTAGTACTATTAATCTATCATAATTTTAATATTTCTTCAACCACAAATTGCTTTGTCGCGAAGCCCTGTTTTCTGATTGTCTCATCAACCATTTAGGGTTGTCGTTATAATATTATATTATCACCACATTTTCTGTTTGTTTTTGTATTAGTGAATGTGAGTCGATTTATTTGCTAGGAAGTTAGTAAGTCTACAGAGTGTATTACAGATAAAGATAAATAAATACTAAAAACTCTAAAATGATTATTGCTTATACAATTACCGAAAAGATACTAATCTGTATTCCTTGTGAAATCAATAACTGTTAGTAAAATCCTTTAAGTTGTTCACAATAGACTTTACGACATTTTTCGAAAAATGTACACTGAATGATTCGATGGCAACACAAAATATGAGTCTCAGCAGGATTCGAACTCCAGTTCTGTGGGTTATTTCTTCTAGTTTACCAATTGATTTTTTAACTGACTAGTTTAAATGAAAAACTACTATTGACATTTTTGTATTCATGTAAAATATGATTTGATCAATAATTTTCCAAAAGCTATCAACTATACTTCATTATTATTATTTGTAAGCGTTTTCTCGTTGTTCATACCCTAAACTAATTTTGAACACAGATAGATAGTGGCGAGCAGTGGAATCCAAGACGCGCGTTTCGTCCTACTTGGAACTCGTCAGCTGGATGTACCTGCATCCCAGAGTTGACGTTCATTCCTGGACTCGAACCCAGTACCGTTCGCTTCAAACACCATCGCGTTATCCACTTAGCTACTGAGTCCTGATAGCCACCTGCTTGTGCAATGGGGTGAAGTTTAAATTCACTTGGTGTTGTTTTACCTGCATGAAACTGATCAATCGCAGTCCTAAATAACAATTGGAAGACATAAGTAAAAACAACACCAAGTGAATTTAATTTTGAACAGTTTTTGTTGGGGTATAGGCTCCCTTAAAGTGATCAATATTTTCTTCACTTACAGATAATTATAATTCGTATAGTGACTAGCAGTGAGATCCATTGCTCTGATTTCGTCCCATACAAACTATGGTTTATGTATAAATATCGACTGTATTTTAGTGTATTCCATCAAAATGTGTCTATAGGTTAACAGAAAACGACCAAACTCATTTTTCTCTACCATCGACAGTAACCTTTACAGTTGTAATTAAGCTCATGGTTGTTGAACTGGTTATGGGATATTTTAATTCCTTCAGCCTAGTGAATAATACTCATAACAGGTATTTAAGATGATAAATTCTAGGTTTACGTCTTAGTGTGAACATCCATATTATGATAAATGGGTACATGTAATTCACTAGTCCTAAATAGGACGAAAAGTGCTTTGTGAATCCCACTGCTAGCCACCATTGAAAATATTAAGAATTATGTTTGTTTCTTCTTTATTTCATCCTATTGAAAACAATATTTCAGACCAACGTACTGAAAGTATAAAAAGGACTTAGGTTAGCATATAAACATTTTCATATCTTGGTAATTGCAACACTCAATCGTTCATATTATCTTTTTTCAGTGGAAGAACTTATTGAAGTCAGCTTTCACGCATGTTAATTATATTTTTTTCGTAATCAATAAATTAGTCTTTCATCTTGTTGAAATATCGTATTCTCAACTATCTATCACGAGTATGAAATCACTATAATCTGCTCTATGTATGAAGAAACACAAATAGTTTTTAGCAATGTAATTGCTACGAAGCTTGAACACTTGTTGCGGATAACCATGTCAGTGTTTTTTTCCTTTAAAGTAACTTTGACATAAAATATATCCTTTTTTCCCTTTTTCCCTTCTTTCTTTTTATAATTTACAATATACTCATTTTTAGTATAAGAGGATGGTAGAGGTTGTTGAATTGTATAGTTTATATTATGGATTAACATCAACCAACCATTGAAAAACAGGAAGCTCTGGATAGTCTTTTTATCCAAGTATGGCACTCTGATTTGTTAGCCTGTCTGTACAGTGTGTGATCTGGCTTCTTTCAGTTGATCATATCCGGAGACTATTTGTGTCTCATTACTGTTATCTTCAAAGGACTGCTGACATTCATTAACAACTTGCATTATTAATGCTGGGGTTCGACAACGTGAATTCGTGTACTACGACGACAGTTCACCTCTTCACACACCGGCTTTAATGATCTGGACATATGTTGCGGATTCCATCTTAGTGGCTTTCACACGTGTATCATCTCTGGCTGTTCGGGTGGGATGACAAAAACAGTGAGGTGGTCGTTTATGGCATGTCGTAGTATGTGGAGAATCGTTCACAGTACGAAAATGCATTCACTCCTTATCTCCCCCTCGATCTTGAATTCCAGTATCCCTTCATATATACCTTTTCACCTTGGCTTTTTAAATCATTCCTATGGTTTAGTCTTTTTTATCGTTCCTATTACATTATTTCGGTCTATTTTGTTATTTTCATCTCATCGTGGTAATCAGGTATGGCAACTTTGACCAGACCATATTTGTGCTAGATTCTATGTTGATAATGTTTGTCTATCACGAAATAAAGCCGTATAAAACTGGGATCTGTCAGTTTATTAAAACTTCCTGACTTAGGATCCTAGAGATGATCGAACTCAATGTCTTGATATGTTATCAGATATAGCTCGCAATAGAGACCAATGGCGATTCTACTGTGGTTTTATTATACATCCTTCATAAAAACTGAACTCTCTTAATTAAAAGAATTTTTTGTTGTTGTGTTTTTAACTGGACTTTAACTTCTATTATAATTCTACTCTTCTTCGTCTATTCTTTTTTTGTTTGCACTTTCATTCTCTTCTTTACAATAATATCTCTTTATTCATGTGGCGCATAATATTTTCTGGGTAGTCTATTGTATCAAAATTTACATAAAATATGGCACTGTTCAACAGTACCCATCTATAAACCGAACACATGGGACTGAACCCAAGACTTTTGAGTTTTGTGGCGAGCACTTAACCTTTTTATCACTGAGTAAGCATCCAATGATTTACTTTTCTAACTTCATGATACCTTTTCATCTAATTTGAATTTTTCTCTGGTAACAATTGATCACATTTTGTGGTTATAAAACATTTCTTCTAAATAATCTATTTGTTGTTATGTTTGTGGTAAATAAAAAAGGAATAAAGAAATATTTTTTTAATTGCCCACTTTTGGGACAATAATAATTTCTGTTATTCAGACGTGTACAACACGTATACTACAATAAATATAAAATTAGAAAATTATCGACTACTACTATTACTACAACCATTACTTGTCTTTGATTTATTGTGTAATCTGAATGTTCAATTTTAGTCTTATTTTTCTGGTAACCACTTCAATATCATATAGAAACAGTTCAAGCATTTATCGTTAACATGTCATGAGTGCACACTGTTAAAGAATAGCTCCTCAAATAACAAGTGAAACACTTGTTTAATGCTTGTTAATTTTCCATATTTCTTTAGCAATTGTCATTTTGTGACAAAATTCACTATCAGACTAGGAAGAAAAAATCTGTATAGGACTATCTCATTTTGTGGTGAGAATAAATATGCCTCAAGACTGAAAAGTATCGTTTTTACAGTTCTCAACCCACCTGGGATTTTTTTGAAAAATATATTCGGCAATATATTCATTGTTTTTTTTGTTGTCTTGATTTAATGTATTCTAATGTCTAAAATTATTCTCAATGTATACATTTTCCAAGTCTGAATACTATATATATATATATATATATATATATATATATATATTCATAACTCACAATAATTTAAATTATTACCATAGCATTTTGACTAAACAAGATGTCTGAAAAGGCTCAGAGATGTAATTGAGCTTGCATATTCAGCTTCATTATAAACTAATTTAACAATGCGTGTACCCTTGTCTCCAGCGCTTTTAGATTAGGATCATAGTGAACGTGTACAGGTGAACGAAATATTATCTACTCTTCAACTAATACACTCGAAAAAATTGGGTGATACTTTCTTTGTCGATAAGTTCTTAAGGAATAAATAAGTCATATTCATCATTATTTAGAATACACTATGATAGATTTAAACTAATGTTACATTTAAAGAAAACATATATGTAATTTTCCTTGACTTTGTACTTTTTCAGAACTTTACAATCTGAAAACAACTTAAAATTAAACATATCAATCTCAGATCGCACAGTCAGTGCTTCAATGTTTCACCATCTTGCCGAAACCCAATCAGTATTTTGTGGGGAAGATAGTATGTCGGTTCATTAAGTTTTTGCTAATAATCCAGCGTGGATATTGTTGTGCTGTGGTAAATTATCTCATTTTATGAAACTACTGTAGTAGTAGTAGTAGTAGTATTATGCCACTTATGGCCAGATGTTAACATGGAGTATTTATCTAACCTACATGTTAACAGATTCTGACCCATCATCAAAACAGTATGAGGAAATTGTGCCCAATAGTTGGAACTAACATATTTCAACTTTCTTTTAAACGTATCAATGGGATAATTCGCTAGTGATGTGTCTTTATCAGATATAATCGTCTGACTAAAACCTAACATTATAAGAGTTATTTTGCCGTAAATCATATTGTCGTTAGGTGAACATGGTAGTGTGTAAAATATGAACAATAATTCATAATTGTTGTAATCCATTCGCATGTCTTTCGAGAGTTTTCTTTCTCTATCTCGTCATCGACTGTCGTTTTTCAATAATGAGTCACCTTGCTTAATATATCGTAGTGCGTTCATCATTGTGAAGACAAAATGATACATTTAATGTGCAAAAGGTACTCCGTCCAACTTATCACTTTCTATCCTTTCCAGAAAAATATATTAGTATTATTCTACTGTATATTCACGCCCATGCAAAAAACATATCTAATTTTTATTATTTCTTTTGTGTTTTACATAAGTGAATGATTCATCCTTAAAACTCTGGTCGATGTTAATATTATGCTCTTTGTTCTATTGTGTATGTTGAAAAGCCACTAACAAATGGTTATTTGTATTTTGTAGAGTAAATCAACATTTTTTATTGACTCATGATCTTAACCATTAAAATTTAAACGTTAAATAATTTTTTCAACTGTGGAAAAATTGTTTAACTACTTGAAACTTATAACACAAATGTTTTGATGAAAATATCCTCCATACTGAGATAGTTAATGACAAACCTTTCTAGATTCCGGATTAAATGTTTTCTAATACACCTCTTCAAGAGTGTTTCATTGTTTTATTCATTCTAATACTATTGGTTAGTAGATTAATTTTAGTTTTGAATACAAACTTGTGTACTGGAAGCGATCACCAGAATACTGTTGAAACATTTGCCACTAACGTTAATGGGAGTAACATATTTGCTTATTAATGTGTGATACTATCATGTCTAACCTTGGCATTAATACCTATAAACATTTGCTTATTGATTTGAATAGATTTAGATACATGATCATTAACTGATAAATAAAATTGTTTGACAGAACGGAAGATGAAATCAACAGCAAAACTAAAGAAACAACTGAAGAACAAATTGAATGTTCCATTTTTATTGGAAAACAGTATAGCGAGAGCTTAAAACAGTTGCAGCCAATTTTAGCCCGTTGTTGTTAACCAACGAAAAGACATCTATTGTAAATAGAGATTATGGAGAAAAAATTAAACACTATAAATCATAAATAACTTAAGAATCTATTAAATTTTTCTACCAGTTTTTCTATTTGTGAATCGAGAAGTCACCAGATAGATTCGTGCGCACGGAAATAGAACGCCCTCCTTCTTTGTAGCCTTAAAAGGATTTTTGAGTTTTGATGTGTTCATTCTTTTCTTACGTAGTCATTATATTGATAATCTTCATCTAAATATTGCATTATCGATTTCTTATTCTTTTTTAATATAATCTTTTACAGTTTGAAGGTGTTTACGTTATATTCGGCATTTTAATTACATGTTCTAAATTTAGAACACCAACTAATTCAATGATAACTGTGTTATGTATACCCAAATTAAACTGTATACTATGATGCTATATTTTCGTTTTGTTATTTTTTTCAACTCCTTTACCAGCTACAAATTTGTGTATTTGGCTTTGAGCCACACTCCAAGCATAATAGCTAGGTGATACTATTCGATACCCCAAACAGAAATAGGGTGGAGCGGGAGTTCGAACCTATGGTTTGGTATATGTGGACTTTCGTCTAAATTTGATCGATTAGTTTCACAGTATTTGGGCACCGAGTTAATGTGAGACATTAAAGAGGAAGAATGTATTTGTAAAATCTCAGTGAATAAATTTGAAGTAAATCCAACATTCCGCCTGGCGATCTGGTCCAAGCTTTTTCAGGGAAATATAATCAAACATCAAAATTATCGAATATAAATTTATATTCGATTTTACAAATATATTCTTCCTCTTTAATATCTGAGGTTTAATGGTTAAAGGCTGGATTCTCTGACTCATTGAACCGCCGTCCCAATATTTAGATATTTTTAACTGTATAGAGCTTAAAGAAGTTATTGAAAACAATTGTTCACTCAAATACTCTTTATTTTACAAAAATATATGAACGACTTTCAAAATAATTATAGTCTTACGATCCATGAGCTCCATATACATGCTTAACTAGTTATATTTTCACATTTTTTGTAATATCACTGTTGTTGGTGTGTATTGACTGCCATTCAACAACGTGAGTCGAAATGATTTATAAATAAATTGCTAAACAACTCTGAAGAAGAAGGATGATGATGCACTGATAAATTCTTACTATCCACTTTTTCAGTACATCTGATCTTTTCTTTTTTAAGCTTAAAATAGGTTGTTAAAACACTTTCTAAAATTTACTGAATAATTATTATTTTCTATTTCAAAAAAATCATCTTATTAGGTAAAATCATATTGTTTAAAGTGGCTATTGTTTTATTGAATCGTTTATTTGGACATCCTTCTCACCGTAAATCATGTCAAGGACTTGATGATATTCTTATGAGATTACGTGAAGTATCATCTGTTGTTGGCAAATTGGATAATTTCATCCGTGAAGTAAGTTAAACATGAATAATATTTGTATAGCAGGCAGTCATTTTATTTGACAATGGAAGTGAAATGAATGTCTTATTGATTAGTTAGTTGTCCATTTTGTAGAGCAGTGAATGCGTGTAACTTTGTAAGCTTCCGTATACCATTCTTCTTATCTCTCTCTGTCTCTCTCTTTATCCCACATCATATTCTAAAGCACATTCTGTTGTTGCAAGGATAAATAAATATTGTTATTTTTAATGTAATGTTGTGTAGAAAGTCACTACTGTTTGCGTTCATCTTAAATGTAGCAGTCGAACTGACCAACTTATTAAATATTGGATTTTAGTGAATTAAATAATGATTGTACAAGAAGCTTTTGTTTCATTATTCAGCTAAACAAAACATGAAATATGATTATCAATAAAATAAGCGCATATTATTGATATGTTATATCACTGTTTAGAATGGACCAGTCTACTTTCGTTATCGACGCCACAGTTCAAAATACTCGATTTTTTAGATAAATACTACATTCTTCTCATTTAGTCCAGATTTTCAATGTTATATCAGCTAGCTTATTTATCTTATTTTGAAACGTTACACCTGACTTCAGTTTTGCTGGTTCGTTAGTTTCATTGTATGTACGTCGATCATGATATATATGTATATACTCTAACGATAAGTTGAAATTCTCTTATTTCCACTTATATTTTCCAAAACAATTAAGTTCAATCATTGCTAGATATCACATTGATTATAATTGTATGTTATGTCTCACAACCTACAAATACGCATCGACGACCTTAAATAACCAATACACAGCAAATGAGAGGGAGACCGATACTCTATATCTGACAATCGGCCCAATACTAACTAGCCTCGAACGAAGATGGGTAATACATGACCAATGATTACTAGTTCAAAATCGTCTTCATATTTCAGACACTCGTTTATGTAAATGCAAGACTAAACCACAAAGCAGACCAATTGAGTAACAGTATTAACACGGAACAACCACGTAATTGATGAGAAAAACGAAGTACTGGGTACACAAATACTCGATTCTAGTTTATAAATGTAAAATGCTATAGCAATAATTTACGGTTCAAATAAAAGCTTGGAACAAGAGTAATACGAAAATAGTAAAACCAAAATACTTTATATATATATATATATATATATATATATATATATTATTATTATTATTATTATTATTATTATTATTATTATTATTATAAATAATAATTATTATAATAAATTATATATATATATATATATATATATATATATATATATATATATAATCGTAGAAAATTAACCTCGAAAGTTCTTATCTCATAGTTAACTTGTCTCCTACAATACTGTATATTTCTTAAATAAACTTTAAATATCTGAGAATGATAGAACTACATAACATTAAGCGACTGACTGTTTTTTGAAAGTATGAATTATCTTTCGCTAAGATTACAAATAAACCATTCATGGTTTTCGCCCATAGAGTTCTACAATGTATATCAGCATTTCTTTGTGCTGAAAAAGAAAAGAAACCGATAGAACTGTTAGCTTGTTGCATTATCATCACGTAGCTCAGTATTTTTTTTATGTATGACCAGCGGACAAAAATAAACAAACACAGCTTGTTAAACTTTGTGACACTAATGTTGTGAATTCCTGTTTATCATTGATTTCATTGTGATCGCTATCTTGCTTGTAGATTCCTAATATTTGTGTTAAATAAATTGTCTAGCCTAAAATATGCGGAAAATGCCCCGCATACTCAGGAAATTGCTCTGATGCTGTCCAAAGAAGCATCCTCCAAAAAAAGGAGGGAATCACAATGAATGTTATTCAATATTATGCACCCACCAATTATAGCAATGAATACTCTGAAGACCAATTTTATTATAGGCCACAGTCGATTATTGCGAAGTGCTCAAGAAAGGACTTGATCATCCAGATGAGAAACCTAAAAGCCAAAGTCGGAATGGACAACACCGAATATGAAGATATCGTGGGACGACATGGACTGGGAAAAAGAAACATGAATAGTGACAAAATTGCAAATTAATGTGCCTTCCACAAAATGGTTATAGGCAGTACAATATTCCTCCACAAACACATACACAATGCTACATGGGTCTCAACGAATCACACTACAGAGAACCAGATAGATCATATTTGCACCACTAAAAACTTCAGAAGGTCAATGGAAGACGTGAGAACCAGATGAGTTGACATAGCTTCAGATCACTACCACTTGATAATTGTCAAGATGAAACTAAAGCTAAAGAAACACTGAACAACTAGAGGAACGGCATTACAAAGATCTAATACAGCCTTCCTACGAGATACCAACAAAATTAGGGAATTCAAGATAATTCTCAACAACTGGAAAGAGATCAAAGAAGCACTAACTAACGTGTCAGGAGGTTCTCGGACTCAAGAAGCATCATCATAAGGAATGGATTCCTATGGAAACCCTGGACAAGATTTGAGAAAAGAAAAATAATGAGACAGTAATTAATATCAGTCGAATAAGAACAAAGGAAGCCAAGGTACAAGCTAAATACGCAGAAGCAAACAAGAGAGTGAAGAAAAGCATTAGAGCCAACAAATAGAAATACGCAGCAGAAAAAGCTGCAAGAGAAGGAAATATGATACAACGAAGAAACTGACTGGGAAATATAGTAAACTAGAGAGACCGGTCGAGGACAAAGAAGGCAAGCCAATCACCGAGATTCCAGAACAGAGGAACTGGATCTAACCACCGATTGTCAAATACAACATGGGGAAAATCAACCCTAATCACACTTGATGGAGAAGCTCTGGAAGAGGTGGAAACTGGACAGGAGGATATGATGCAGATGTAAAGGCAACACAGGGAATGGAAAATAGTCGCATAATGTCTCGAGCTGATTGATGTTAGGGATGTGTACCATTGGTACCGGCCAGCCATGAAACCTGAAGGCCCTGACTTTGATCCTGGTCTGCATCGTGTGTAGGCACCGCTGAAGAGCCCCACACTGGGACGAAAGGCTTTTCAGTGCCTTCTAATTGTCAATTTTTATGTAACTTATCACTTATACTCGAATCGAGGAATCTCTGTAATTCCCACGACGCGAAGGTAAAAACACAAAGACTGGTATAAGTGAAGATTTATTGACCCTCAAAACAAGACGACGAGTACCCTAGTCGAAAATACACTCATTTATTTATTGATTGTAGACACACTTTGATTAATAATTAGGATAAAATCACACATATAAAAAATACTTAGAGTTATAACCAATCATATATTGAGCATAGTTCATGTCAATCGAATACAAGAATATCGTATATTATACAGAATAAAATAAATCAATTGAGATTTGTGCGGCGCACATGTATTTGGTGCCTCCCTGTACCTATACTTATGTGTTAAAATAAAATAAAATAAATACAGAATAAAATATCATACGAGAAATGAAAACAAATACTACACTGAATGATCATCACATTGAATCAAAACGGAAATAATGTTGAACAAAACTCATAATTAGCAGATCAATCGAATTTTGACTTTTCTTCCCGTCATATCAGTTGTGGAATCATGACTACAGACAAGATCAAACTGAAGACTTTCAAGTCTCCCAACGAGGATGTATTGTAATTAAATGAGAAAATAATTTTGTCTGATCTGTTTTTCTTTCACAAAAAGCAAATGATTCTTCTATTGTTAAAATAATATTTTGTTAGCATTCAATACTAGGACTGGTAAACATTCTAAATCATTTGAACTTATTGTTTCATTCAATTTTTCTGAACTCGACATTATAGTGCATATCAGTTCTAAAGCAATATTTCTACATTTGAAAGTTGAAGAAATATTCTCAGATTATCAATTTATTGCATTCAGATTATTAGATTTTACTGGCATCTTCACTCAACTGGACGATATTGACAAACGATTGATCATATTTGTCATTTAGTTCACTGTTTTAGGTAGTTTCAGTGGAGTTACATTTTATAGTGTACAACCATTTATGATTATAAAATGTATAGATAGGTATTTAATTTAAACATCTCGAGTCACAGGTTTAACCTATTTTTCAACAACTATCTGTAGTTGTTGGAATAGTTTAACTTAATAATTTATTTTTCTCAGAATTCAATTTTCCAGTTGACTCTACTCGTCCTCTAATTAAAATCTTTCTTTTTTTGTAAAGGTTGTTCGAGTCCCTATAACTACCAAAGAATTAAGTCAACAAATTATTCGACAATCTCAAAAATGGGCAGCTAATCATCAGAGACAATCTTAGGCATTTAAGTTCATCAGTTGATTTGAATAATTGTCTAAATGAAAAAATAACTGAAAGAACAGTTGATTATTTACCCGTTTACTCAGATTAAGTCAGCATGGTAAAACGAAGTAATCAACGCCATAAAATGATATATATATATATCCTATCTATGCTATGCTTTCCAACATATATATATATATATATATATATATATATATATCCTCTCCGAACATTGAATTACCCTTATTTTCCTTTGTTCTTCTACAAAAATAAAGAATCTATTAACAATTTTCGTTTTGTTGAAAATAAATAATTACGACTTTCATACAACTTCTGGTGCAATGTACTGTATTTACTCCGCCCAAACTGCTTTCACCGGATGAAATTCCCTACTCCATGGTAAACATTTAATCATATCACGAGTGAAATGGTTTTTTTCTCAATAAATGGATAGACTCCTCCCTTGTATTTACCACATCATTTTTCATTTGAAATGTCTTTTATGCATATTGTTGTTATTGTTCTTTTTGGTCTCATTTCTTTTATCTGAACTACCTATTTACTTTACACATCGTCATTGTTTTCTACGGACGTTAAATTGCCATTTTCTCAGACTTATGCATCAGGGTGCATAGTCGACAGTAATATCTATCTAAACATATGAGATGGAAGCTTATTTATGAATATATACATATAGCTTCACTGTTCCAGCTTTTGCGTATTTTAATCTCTTTCTTGTTTTATTTTCGAATTTAATCAACCTACTCCAACCCTGGCCTTCGATCACTATGCACTGTTTTGTGCTCACGTATGTGTATTACTACTGTACGACTGAAATAATTATCTTCATTGTGCATTTATTTCTCGTAAATACTAAAATTCGAATTTATACATGTCACCTCCTTACTAATGGTAATTATTATTCTTACAAAAAGCTTTTGATTATTTGCTATGAAGATTCAATTGAACAACTATGTACATAAGTCTTATTTTTAAAGTCGTTTACTTCCTACTTGTCAAGTTATCTTAATTTTTTGTGTATCATAAATAATGTGATACAAGTTTTGCTTGCGTGTTGTTTTTTCTCTCTAATTATTCTGGCTTATATATATATTCTTTGTAAGAATATTTATTATCAGACTTATCGAAATTTGTCAAAATGAAGTTCACTAGTGTAGTAAATTGTTTGTTTTATATTAATGAAAGCAAATCTAATCCAGTCAACAAAGCTAAAGTTATCAAATATACCTTATCAGAGAAGGAGTTTCTTCTTTGTACAGTTTACACTGAGATCTAGCTCACAGCATATTTTGTTTGATGAGAAATATGTAAACGCTTGAAGATGAATTTTATCATCTTGAAAAAGACTACCACTCTTTAGGATATTAGTAATTCAAATTCATATGGAAATATTGAAAATGAAGTCCAGTAGAGAATTGTTATTTTATTTATTTATTATTAGATTTATTCAGTATTATATTTTTGGTACAATATAGAATTCTCGGCACAAAGTATTTCAACAAGTTTCCGTTTCTTCTTGATCGATCCTGGCGATAAAAATTGAGTGGTCACCAGTTAGAAGTTAGCAGTTCAGTCAATCGACATCTAAATAATGCACATTCTGTGCGCTGCATATTGCCAGAAACCACAATATCTCTGATTGGGCCTTTTTGTCACTTGTACAACAAAAGGTTGCACACTTTTCAGAAACGCACCTGAATAGGTTACGTGAGTAATAGCCATAATGATGTATTAAAACAAGATTAGATAACTTGTTGAAATATCTAGATGGCAGGAACAGGTAGCCTAGATGTTCAACAGGTCGCCATGTTTTTTCATTCAAGATTGTACCAACTCATAGAGTCTTCCCGCTTTGGATTCTTGTTAATCGTTTGACAAGAAAATTACCATTTATTGAAATGTTTCATCAAAACATTTTCTATAACTTGAATATGATTTTCGTCAGAGATCATCAGGTAGTTATTTTAGACTCCTCAGAAATACTCGTGACCCCACAGGAAAGCAGAATTGGGGTCTTTAATTCTCTTAAGGAGCATAATTCATTTATATCACTGAACTGGAATCCAACTGTTTACGCTAGGCAAATCGACAGCAAAACAAAATCTCTTGAGTATGTTTTTCATCCCTGAATTTTTTAGAGAAATAAAAGTACGAAATCTCTATAAAAGATTATCAAATAGGTGTGATTTGTTGTTACTTAGAATTATTTACGCATCAGCTTTAGGCAAATCAAGGAGTTTTACGTGTAACAGCTGCATAATGAACACTTGGTCAGTAATGAATCTAAATAGTTTGCAAGGGAATAGTCACGAGAAAAGGTCAATTTTTCCACTTAAAATCTATCGATAATATAATACTATATTTAAAACAATTAATTATTATAGTAGATCTAAGCGTTTTCTGTTATGTTGTTCACGAGTTGTACAAATATTCATGAATGGAATAAACATATCACAATGTCGTCTGATAATTTTCAAGAAATCGATAATCTTTATTTAGATATAATTCTGAATATTTTATGAGGTTTTAAAGGTTATTCTGAAGTTTTGCATATTAGAACGATAGTAATCACAACGGAAACATCACATTCATATTAACACATGCTACAACGCAACCTTTTTCTTCAATGCTATTTAGTACTTGGGTTCCAATCATTACTCTCTTAAATAAGTATGAGATCTAAAACGATGGATAAAAATAACAGTAGTTTAATATACACTAATTTATTGATTGTTTACACTATACATCCATAAAAACCTTTCGAAAGAAATAAAAACGTTCTTTTTAAATTAAAATTCAACGGAAATTAAAAGTTGATATTATTAAAAAAAAAACTTATAAGTAAATAGATGTATATGCATTTATACACTTTTTTTACAATAATCAACAGCATCATATGGAGCCGGTTGTATAGGATCCGGTAATAGACGATTTGTAGTCTCATCCAAATCACAGTCTAGTAATGATTCATTTTGCCGATTTGATTTACATAATGGACCTAATAATAAAATATGTGGATTTTCTAAATGACGTGAATCTAAATCATCTATACGTACGTTCAATGGAATATTTGTTCGTATTTGTTTTATTTCATGATGAAAATATTCATGGAATCGTTTCATATCTAATTCAGCTGATTCTAATTTTGTATTTAAATCGTTTAAGCTACAAAAAAAGAACAACAAAGATGAAGAGAATGATATTTTAATTTTAACTAGTTCAACCAACTCATTTCTTTGAGTTTACTTTTTACTCACTCATAATTTTTTCTCGGCAACATTTTCCAATACTATTAACCATTAAACATATTGATATTTTCAAGTATCTTCTATGTAATAATTTTTATCTCTCAGGGTTATTTATTCACCTTGAAGTATTAATCGATATTACGCACACACACACACACACGGATGGTTATGTAAATATGAGTATCAAGCACAGCGCACATGTGCACATATTTGTATGACATCTTATACATATTTAATGTAATAATAATTACTATCACTTATAAGTGGTATTATTTATGTATTAGAATATAAGTCGAAACGATTGTTAATAATATTATAGTTTTCTTGTAAATTAGCTTTATAGATTATTAATTAATAATCATGAGTAGAAACATCTACTTTCGATTGTTTGGATCACTAAAATAATATTGATATCACTTACCAAAGTTATAATTGAATCAAATAGACGATGAATAATAACCTTATAGCAGTTTACTTTGAATGTAACAAGATTACTAAAAGTAAATGATAATCATTTCAACTAAAGAACTATTTATGATTTTTACCTAATACTGATTACATATAAGTTAGTACTATAATACACATTTTACCTTAATGACTATTAAAACTATTTGAAAACTTATTATTAGTAGGCAGCTGAAACTTTACATCTACATTATAAAACATCAACATATTTTCTCATTAAATCTGTGGAAGCTTTTTTGTACAATGTGGAATGAAACAGTTACTTGAATTGAAAATATATTAACTATTTTCATATTTCATAAAACAAGCACTGATAACAATCGTTACGCCTACTAGGAACCTTTCTCGAAAAATTTATATTCTTTACAGCACAATTTGTTTGTATGTTTATTGACCATGGATTCTGTCAGTCAGTCAAATGCAACGTGAAACCGGGCACATGTGTACATCTGTTCAAATTACCACACGCCATTAGGACAGACGAATTCTGCGTCACAATAATTAAGTAACCTTATTGTTGTCGTACTTCAGTTTACTAATTGTAAAAAATTATTGATGCGTTCGGGTGACATGGTTTAAAATCTATCACATTGATACAGTAGAATTAATTCTTTATCTTTATTTGAATTTGATGCTTAGTTCCTGTTAAGATTAGATGAATAGGAGAGGATAATAAACTTTGAAGAGTATTGTTTGAAACGTTTATACTCGCGTTACTAAATGTGTAATTACTTACCCTTAGGTGATGTAAATTTTATATTTTCCAGATTGCTTGTTCCCATCTAACTCATTTACTGTTATCATATATTTTTCTGTTCTAAAATTGTTACGAAGTAATCATAAGGCCTATTATTCCAATCTCCTGTTTTAAATATTTTGATACACATTGTAATTTCTTACTTGTGGTGCATTGTGGTCCTATTATTCATACATTTAACCGTATGGATTCTTGAGTCAAATAAACGGGGTTAGATCGGTTGTTTCATTCTTATATTCTCATAGCTTTGGGGAAGTGAAATTCTGTTCACCTACCCAGCATTTGTTAGCAAGTCAATGAATTGAAACACTGGTATAGACACTCACAAGGTCAAGGTGAACGTAACAGATCCACAAACCATATCAATTTTTTTTTCGTTTTTCCTATTGTTCGATCTAATTTCTTTATTCGTAATTATTTCTTATATATAAATTTCCACTACAGTCGATATTATTTATCTCTAATTTATATGATAATATTCTCTCTCACTGTGTTGACTTGAGGTGTAGTAACATGAATTGACACACTTTCATCCCTGATCTTATAAGCGCTGTTCAATTTGGTCTGTATGTTCAATTGATGATATTTTCAAATTTATTAGAATGTCTCTACATTCTAACCCTTCTTTATAGTTGACTTGGTAGCTAAATATTAGTGACCTGAAATTGAATGTTTCACGTTTTGTGATCCTATCCTACGTCGTTTGTAAATTATATATTTTATCATACTAAGTTTGAAAAAGATAGTCAATGACAAAGACAACGGAACACTTCATGAAGTGATTGTCTACTTAGCTAGGACTGAACTATGTCGTGAGGCGAGAGCCGCCCGATTAAGGTCGAAGAAGTAACCATTATGCCTTTTGAGTATAAAAATGATGATATGAGTTGGAATTAGTCCCATTGAAGGATGTGCATAATCTTTATCTTCATCTAAATATGGAGCTTAATATTATTCCATAAACTTCAATAGTTAATTTTATTCGTTCTATCAAACAATTATTTCCAAAATTTTCACTCCACTACTGTTAATATTATTACTTTCAGTTGTTTATTTTTCGTATTTTTATTTACTGTTATTGGTAAGCTACCATTTAAATCTCGACTTCGTTGACTTCACAGGTGACGGCTTCTATTTAATTTAATATGTAAGGGAGATTAATGAACTTCACCAATAACGAAAACGTAACTGCTTTATGGTACATAAAAGGTTAAACAACACCATGTTATCGTGCCAAGAGTAATTAGGCTCTCATTAATTTTGAAAATTATTGAAGGTGATTTTGAATGTAACTAGAAATCATCCGTTCAACAAATTATATATTTAGAGTTTGACTACTAACAAGTAGTAAAACTTTATTTTTTAAGTCTACAAGTCTGTGCAATGAGGATTGGAGATAAGAAGCACTTATTGATTACTGGATTTACTTCAGATTCGATAGTATTTTTGTAATACAGAATACCTAACGCTTTTTCAGAAATATGTGGCTGTCATTATTTAGTTAAGATAAGAAAACCGAGTTTCCTTAAAATAGAAAAGTTCTGTCTATATACCTTAAACTGTTGGTGTGAGGGCCAGTGTGACATCCGGCTGATCAAACCAAAGTTGATACGGAGGAATTCTAACATGTGAATAACTAGTTGAAAAACAAGTGCCTTAACAACTAGATCACCACACCACTTTTTATGTATTACAACTATTTATAAGGATAACCAAGTTCAAATGACACTAGAAATTATTACTTTTTACAACTATGCTAACAGGAATATCGAAGGGCTGAATTACAGGAACAATTCCACAACATTTATTATGAATTGAAAATTTATTGTTTTAAAATAAATATAAATATATACATATTTACCTATCTTCTAAATCTGCAAGACGAATTCCATTATCCATTAATAATTTTTCGTTTTCTGATAATGGTTCACCAGGACGTCTGATTAATAATAAACCTTTTCGCATACATCGACTAAAATCTTCCTCGGATAAACTTAATGATTCATGAGTTAGATTTCTCAGGAAGTGAACAGCACACGACTATAAAAGTATGATAAAAGAAGAAAACAGGAGGTAATTCATTGACAAAGTGTTTTTACGGTAAAATCAGTTGTTGTTATTCTCTTTTTCTCTATTCTTTCATAATAAATAAACTAACGTATCTATCTCGATTACTACGTTAAAAACAGTGGATGGAGTCATATTTACGTACGTAAAATCAAGGCTATTGACTAATTAGCTTAAAATGTTTTTAAATGGAGCTTTTCATCATTAAAAGTAGCTAGATTTTTTAAGATTTTACTCTTAACAATTTTACACATAAAAGCTGTAACACTTCAGTAACAGTCAACATGAAAAGTGTTATACTTTCTAGATAAAATGAATTATGCTCGAAAAACCCAGAATTACAACACACAAACTTAAATTTTCCGATGAATATAAAATTGAAAGCTATTGGTTCATTAGTTGGTTGTTTTCAGAATGTCGCCCCTGAATGCGCTGGTACGGCCGAGATTGGGGAGAGTCGACTCTCCCTCTTGAAATGCTCTCACATGGCCACGTGCATACAACCACTGACAGGGAAGTCCTACTCACGGCCTTCTAGCTGTGGGGTGTTACTTACGAAATTGAGATAACGGAAAGCGAATATCTGGCTCTAACCGGGTTGGTAGATATAGAGGATCCACCTAGGGGAGTTGGAAAACCCTGATCCCAAACCAATGGTGTACATGGGCTCCAGGATCCTAAGGGAACAAATGGCGTATAAACCGATTGCTGGTCACCGGCTACCATGGGAATGCATCTGACGTTGCTCCACTGCCTTGTCAAAGGCTCCGGGTGTGGCCCCTTAAGAAAACCACCTGCTCCGACCTGGGCACCCGGACAGTATCCTAGCCCTCACACAAATCGAATCATTTATGTGGCGCATATCTATTTGGTGTCTTCTTGTACCTATGTTTATGTGTTTAAATATATACATAAATAAATATCAGAATGTCAGGCACTCACTAGATGGCTTTGTGTTGATTGAATAAAATTTGGGAAATTCAATAAGAAAATATTTTATGGTTTTCGGATAGAGAGAACTCAAATGTTGATTAAGAGACAAGTTAGGTTTGTTGAAGGAAGCAGTTTAGCTTTGTTAATGATGTTTGATTCCCAAAGACAATGTATTAAGAAATCAGTTGTAAAACCACATATTGATTTAGGGTAGTTTTTATTCAACTGACTTCTAGTACGCTTTTCTTCCTATGAATGAATTTAATGTGATTTTTGTTCATTTCACTGTTAGTACACTTTTATTGTATTAATTAATCCAGTATGACACGTTCATGTGAAATTTGTTTAGGTTGGAAAATGCTCTGACTAATAATCACTGAATGTAACCGATATGTAATTGAATGGATTAAAATGTCAATTAATCTTCTTTGATCTTTCTATTAAGTAACTCTTACTTACTAGATTTTTCCTACGAAGTAGCCGGGGATAAAAGAGGAGGCTGTAGTATACTGCTATGGAATTCGCTATTTTAGAAGAGATTACGAGATCACCTAAAATCGGTGAACAGAACAAAGGATCAGCGACACAACAACAAGACAAACTAACTAAACTATTCTGATGCGTTCCAGCCCTGCTAACTAGAGAGAGAGGACCCGGTTCAGATGAAGGAAAGGTATATTCCAAACAGCACAAACAACGAGCAAACAACTCAAGCGTATATATACAGCATAAAAAGGTCCTTGGGAAACGTCACAAAATAGCATATTAAAAGAGGGAACGAATCGATGACATTTAGGGCCTTTTCAAGTGGGAAATACAATCTGAAGATAGAAATGGACACCTTTGGTGCGAAAACAAGAAAGTTAAATTTCGAAAGTAAAATTACAAAAATAAGACGCTTACCAAGTGATTTCTGGGGACCTAGCATCCCCAACAGAATCGTTGTTATTGCCGATATCAGATTTACTGATTTATAATTATAAACAGTACATAACATTATCAATGACAAAATGTTTGTGGTGTTGATACTTTGTTTACTAAATTATTTTCAGTTGCAATGAAATAGTAATAATGAAGAACAGTTTAAATTTAGCATACCGTTTTATATAACAATCCAAAGAGAAATATTTTCCATTTCAGCTAGAAAACAATTATTCATCATTACTGAATCAATATTACTCTAAAGTGACTAGATCCAATGTTATATCATCAGCTAGTAAACCAATATATATACGGGTTGTGACGACGGACCACGGGTAAACTCGAGGAAGCTGTAAGAAGCTCAGAAGGAGCCGAAGATATTCCATCCAATTATCTTTCAGAAGAATATTCTAGAATTCTTACGTGTAGCTTCCCGATTGGGCAAGGCTGATAACCCCGTGTATGCGGATTGGAGGACTGTAATGATGATTTTGTTCTTACTAAAAACTATAAATACCTGACAATTTGTACCATAATTGACACTGTTTAGAATAATATTCCTTTCACTAGTCTTCTGTCTTCTCCTTGCGACTTGGAAGGGTTTTGGCGTTCTAGTATATATATCAAGTAACAACCTTCTAGATATAGCACGGGTAATGGAAGAGTACGCATATACACTTTTTGTATGTAGTAAGGTCTTCCCTGAGACAACAGGCACCTGAGACGATACTGTCTCTTCACAATAGGAGAGCGTTACAGAATATCGGCCTTAAAAATAGTACACCTAACTTTGCCCCGCAGATTTTCATCCCCAGTAGTAAGGCCTTAAAAGTGTGACGTTAACTTGCCTAAAACTAAACACAAAAAAAGCTATGACCGCGCTCAAGTAACTGGTCCTTAAACATAGCAGTCAAGCTTCTAGGTCATCAAGACTACCCTCTAACCCATTTCTATTTTCAATTACCTCAAGGTTAAGTATCCTTCCACGATGTGTGGGACCAGAAAGTAAGAAATCGTCTTTCTGTCTCTAACTGCCCTCGGGATCATTTCATGTGTAATCAAATCTCATCCTAATTAACTAATATTGATTTCTCTGTGGTTACTGAGGTGAATTTAGTCTTTAATAGTTATCATGAAGTAAAGTCAATTAAAGGTTTATAAGACATAAAAAAGTCTGTATCACATTCACTTAACAATTAAGTACAGTTAATAACAGTAAAACTTTGTTAGGAACCAATCAGGTCTCGTGGTTTAAAATTCGTAGAATATCAAAAGAACAATTTAGAGATCACTGGTTTGACTATATATAAATGTAATTTAAATTTTCTCAGAACATTACTATTCATCTTTACACTTTATTACTCATATGCTCATTAGAGTCATATTAGTAATTACAAAATTTACTTCGTACTATACATAGAAGCAATATGAATTGAAAAAAGTTGTATGAATAAAATACAGTGAAATACTTACTAAATTCGTGAAGAAATAACCAGCTTCACCACTATTCAGTCTATTCTGATTAGCAAATCTCATAATAAATTGTAAATTAGAATAGATTAATGGTGGATTTGAATTCAGTACAATCCAGATTAGTGTCGGTAAAAAATCGTCAGCATTAGCGGTATCTTCTTGTTCAAATACCACATTATTAGTTATATTCACAGAGTTATTTATGACATTATTTTGTACATGAGTTGAATCGTTATTTTCATTTTGACTAGGTATATAATCAGATGTTGAGCTTTTATCATTATTATTATTGTTACATAAATATTGTTGTGTTATAGTGGCATAATTTCGATAGTGAGCTCTTAATGCATCGAATACGCTACGACAACATTGAACTATTTGATTTAACTTATCTTCAGATGCAAGTAATGTATTCACTTTGATAAGAGCTAAATTAAAACAAATAAAATGAAATAGAAATATAATCACTAAAAATTAATCAAGACATGGTATCAGTTTGTGAAGTCAGTGACTTTTGTAATGAGTCATTTTTGAAGGTGTAGAATACCTAGTTGAGGTTCACATGATAATCGTGAACAATGGATACATTGAGCGATATGACACAGAATCGGTTGCAGTGACGCACATGCATCCACGTTTCGTCTCCTCTTAGATCATACGTTTTAGAATCATTTTACACCTTTATTTTGCAAATTCAACCTTTTTTACTACCATAGATGTTATTAATAGTGATTCTACTACTGTGACATTTATCTTGATAATCGTTTTGTTGATATGGTGTGGCAGCTTGATCCGATGTGTTTATTTGCCAGATTGCACGTTGCTTATAATTTACTGAAAATTGGCTTTTAAACAGGTCTCTTAATACGCAAACATTTCTAGAAAGTAACTACATAGATAATGGTTGACGTGATAAGAATTGGATATTAAAATACCTAGAGAAATGAAGCAGTAAATAATATCGTACGGACAGTTCTATCAACCATAAAGTCACTACTTTCAATCTTGTAACCACTTTTCCTATCTTGTTTAACTTTCTTAGACTGTTTACATTACTCAATCTGAAGACAGTATAGGATATGTATAAAACTGATCCTATCCATACTGTGAATGACATACTGAACTTCCTTTTTTGTGTAAAAATACATTTTGACTTAGACTGATAGTAGGTTGTTTACTGATTTATGAAGATATTCAGAAGAATATTAGTTAATTCGGCAAGGTAGAGCAGATTGAACTATTCTTCTAAATAAGTAATCTGATCGACACTATCTAATCATCAAGATGGATAAGTCAGGATTTAAAACACCATCCATACGTTTGCCAACAACAGTTCAGGAAAATCTAGATCATTAATGTATGTAGTCAGTTCAATTTTTACGAAGTCATTAAGTTATTGTAAATAACCTTTGGAAATAAATGATTAACGCGCTTTGGTCATTTTATCAGATTAACTGTTGTCAACGGGTTATATTTATACAGCATAATAAGAAAGATATGAGTAATCAACACGCTTCTATGTACGTGTGTGGGTGATCAGTTCACTAGCCTATTCATCCAAAATTAAAAACTGATGCTTAAATTGAGAACCTACGTAAGGCATATACACCAAATAATTTGTTGAAGTACAACCAAATATGATTCTTTCAGTTAGGCAGTAGATAATGCTATTGAATACAGTAGCTTAAATATTGGATTCCAGTTTATCTACAATAATCTAGAACAAAAGTCTTGAATAATTATTGCATTGAAGGTCATATGTGTTACATACTTAAGTCTTACTGATACTCAATAACGACTAGTTATCTCTCAAATTGATTTGTCAAATACTTACTAAAAGCTCAGTGTTAATAAATATTGACTTAAAGACATTATATTGTTTAAAAGAAGTGTAAAAGAGAGAAAATACAACGAATATAAAAAATTTGTAATTCTAATTGAAAGAATCACCATAACGAATTTAAAAGATACTACTTTATCTATTATCTTCGATCAAAAAGATATGATTCATTATAAAATTAGTCCCATGTGTTTATATAATTCAACTAGATGTGCTTAATTAGTTGTTACGTAGTTAAGATGTATCAAATGTCAAACTATTTGATGTCAGATAAAAATTGTTATAAACGAAAAATAAGTGATTCATAAAAAAAGTACAATTTCAAATTATTAATATTTAATTCAACTGTAAGTGTACATTTCACCTATAGGTTTTCATAAAGATCACTAAAATGATCATTTCTCTACTTTTACTGAAATCTATTTAAGTGAATAGATTATCACTACTTTATTCTAAAATTTCTAGATGTGATGACTGAATCTAATAATAAGTTCGGGAAATAACTGTTCACCATTTAATTATTAAATTGGTTACATAGATAGTACATGCATATTTAGTGCTAGCTTTGTGAACGAGAACTCAGGTGGGGATAACCAATTTACTGTTTAATGCTAAATTACAGTGTCCTCTTAAAATATGAAAACCATACACTAAATACATTATTTGTACATCTTCTTTGGGCTTTCTCGTACATGCTTCATGATTCTTTTAATTTTGTTGTCATTACAATTGCTCTCTATTTCCCTCCAGTTCTCTTCAATCCAATCTTCTGCTGGCAGTCAGTCTACTTCTGAGTGGTACTACATCCTACTTATATCTATCAGCACAAGTAGCATACACCGCACTAGGTTTTGTCATAAATTGAAATCACAAAAACGTTTGGTGGAAATAAATAATTTAATAGATGAATTCATGAATCAATTAAAGCTAAACCACCATGGAAAACCTGGAAGCACTGCACGACCGTTTCGTCCTAGTATAAGACTCCTCAGCAGTGTACATCCACGATCCCACCCGTGAGATCCGAACCCAGGATTTAACAGCCTTGCGCGTGAACGCTTAACCTCTGGACCACTGAGCCAGCATCCACCGGTGTTGATGTCTAACTTCAACCAATCCACGAAAATGAATATCTTATACAAGTTTTCTTTTTATAGAACGAAGCTCTCAGCCTTTATATTTAGTGAAAAACAGTTTTTTTTCTACTGACTGGTTGAGAAGCATTACCAAATTACTCGTCTCCACAAGAAAGGTGGTGTAAACGGTTTACATCTTTCCACTTCAAAATGATTATTTCTTTACGCTATTAATGAACATTTCCTGGATGTCCGATTTCTATTTAAATATACGTAGCAAATATTCCGTTTATTTGTGTCAGTGTACCGGACACTGTTTACACTACGAGTAAATGTAAGTACATCGATTTATTAACTAACTGTAAATAATACTCATTTTCACATTCCCATAATTTCTGGAGTATCCCATGAAAAAAATTAGGCGTAAAGGTCAAACTCATGACTTTGTTAATAATCAATAATCATAAATCGTGCACAAAAAATTTACGTATTCTTACCGAATGTTGCTAGATCTAAATGGGTAATTTCCTCCGATGAATTAAGATTAATCGGTGAATCAAGCAAGTAGGGAGTTACCCAATGCAATGATCGAATTTTTTCCTGTAATTTCAAATCGATATCTTCATCATCCGTTGTAGGTGAAGCAAAAGCCCAAAAATAAATCCAAGTTGTAACGAAACGCTCGACTGAGTTTAAAACAGATTCTTTGGTTTTTGGTGACAAATTCTGAAATTGATTAAAACTACTCTTTAATATAAGGAATAAATCAATGAATAAAAATAGTTATTTCTGAAGCACAGTATCGAGATCTTTCTCATAACGTCCCAATACAAATTAAATGAACAATGAAGATCCTGTAGTCGACGGAATATTGATTACTTCCAAAACGAAATATTTTAACTGGAAAATGATTGAAAATAAGATATAGGGTGGCTTTATTACCCATGAAGGTCCTCTGATTAACGAGGACAGACATTTCGCAATCTGAAAATAATAATCACAGTAATAATAATAATAAATCATTCCCAATTTTCCAGAACATGGCCTTGTATCCCTAAATCATACAACAATATGGCATTGGCAATGAGTTTCATCTACCCAGTGCTTTAACTGTCCTCAAAACAATGACATACATTTGGGTGAAATCGGATTCTTTAACCACGATTAAATCACCCAGCTTAGAATAAACCTAAATAGAAACATCCTATTGAGCGAAAGATCTGTAGTTTCAACATTCATTTGCAGACAGAAACTATAACACAATATTTCCTTACCAAACGCATGATTATGTTTAAAATTTGGCTGAAGGTGGAGATATTCTCGACTAACTCACAACCTGAAAGCAACGAATCCTGCTACTTGTGAGTGCCGCAAAATGCCCTGATATGGCCGAGAGCGGGGTGGGCCCTCCCCCCTCTCGAAATGCTCTCACATGGCCACGCGTATATAGCCTCTGCCAGGGTAGTCCTACTCACTGCCTTCTCGTGGCGGCAGTGTTGTTTACAAAAATGAGAGGACGAAAAGCTAATGTCCGGCGCTTTAACCTAATTCCAAACCAATTATGCACATGGGCTCCAGTACCCTGAGGGAACAAATAGCGTATGAACCAATTGTTGGTCACCGGCTACCATGGGACTGCATCTCCTCACGATGCTCCACTGCCTTATGAGTCAGACCTTTAGGTCAAACGCTCGGAGTGTGGCCCCCTAAGAAAGCCGCCTGCTTCGGTTTGGGCACCCGGGCAGTATCACAGCCCTCACACATATTAAATGAGATGTGTTTGAAAGGTGCACGTGGTTTTACAAAAACTATTTCAGTATTTGTGTTCGGTGGTAGCATTCGATTTTCGACCAGTCAGTGACTCGAGATCGTTTAGATAGAACAGAGTTTCCACCATAAGTTGAAAAATAAGGATACACAAGGTGGGAATAAAAGAGAGTGAATAAATGACGTAATAATAATAATAGTGCGAATTATTTGACTGCTAATCGAAGTAAATAGAATTTTCAGTAAATATCGTCATTTTCATTTTGTTTGTATGGGCTGTGATACTGCCCGGGTGCCCAAACCGAAGCAGGCGGCTTTCTTAGGGGGCCACACTTTGAGCGTTTGATCTAAAGGTCTGACTCATAAGGCAGTGGAGCATCGTGAGGAGATGCAGTCCCATGGTAGCCGGTGACCAACAATTGGTTCATACGCTATTTGTTCCCTCAGGGTACTGGAGCCCATGTGCATAATTGGTTTGGAATCAGGTTAAAGAGCCGGTCATTCGCTTCTCGTCCTCTCATTTTCGTAAACAACACCGCCGCCACGAGAAGGCAGTGAGTAGGACTACCCTGGCAGAGGCTGTATACGCATGGCCATGTGAGAGCATTTCGAGAGGGGGGAGGGCCCACCTCACTCTCGACCATACCAGAGTATTTCGGGGCGGTTAGAAGGACTGCTATGGTGATACCATGTTTTCTGGAAAGTTATCTTGAGAACTCTACTTAGTAATAATAGAAACTCTTGGTAGTATTTGCAGTGTAACTCAATAACCAAGAAGATTTGTGTACACAGTTGTTAGCCATTCATTTTATACAGAGTTTAATGTTTCTGCTGTTATCCAGATAGAATAAGTCGGCGGCGGTTCAAATTTAGAATTTGATAGTTGGAACTGAAGTGTTTTAATAACAAAGTCACTGCTCCCCAAAAAAGAAATTATTTGTCAAGCACAGATTCATTTACACTAAGGGTTAATTATATTATTGGGTCGATTAAATGAAAGTAGATGAATAAGGTTAAAATCTACAATCGAGCAATTAAAAGCTGAGTTCTTTAATTGCTAAATCTCCTACCCGAAAGACTCAAAATTGTTCATTAAACAAGTCGAGATCATAAAGTATATTATACATCAAGATAAGTGGGAAAATAACGTACTGAATACATAGGATTGTTTGAAATACGGTTTGAAAGGTTGTGATAAAAGTCTTGCACAATCATTGAGGCTTGATTAATGTTTGAACTTCGAATAGGCTCCAACTGTTCCATAAGCTTTGAAACCTTGTGAAAATTTCACTTACTAAATTTGAATACCTACATGGCGGGAAATGTCGGCATTTGCAGAGGCTCGAAGGGTGTTTAGAAATGTTTTAAATTCTTTTTCAGCTTGTAAACACTCTTCTGGATTCACTGAAATTTGGTCCCGGTTATCATCTGAGATATTCTACAGAATGGCCGTTCCTTACCTCGAGGAACTTTAAATATATTTTTGATAGAAGTTGTATTCTTTCCAGAGCTATGTTTGGGCTTAACCTCTACTTCTGAATTTTGAGTTGAAAGTGATGAAGTCGAGGAAGCCTGACGAAAATTTGATTGCCTTTGATGAGCGTTGCGATAGCACACGGAACAATATCCATCCCAGGAAGGATTCCCATAAAAGCCACACTTATTTTTACATGATAAACTTGATACTTGAAGACGAGATGGAGGATAGTTTGTATTCATCGCAAGGATGTTCCCCGGTCAGTTGAGTACAGCTTATATCTTCAAAAAAAACCCATAATACATTCATTATACATATACATAAACTATATCATTTACAAATTTTTAGAATGATATGCTTGAACATAGAGATATTAGAACACTAAGATTTAACTAATATAAATCTCTAAAGTGCTTACAACGATATACATATACCAGTTTACGGCTACTGCTTAGCTCGACGCGCGATGTTAGCTGACGTAGAAGCAGGTAGGAAGAATTTTAGGGGTGGCCAAACCAAAACTTCACATCAGTTCATGAAGTCGATGACCGTTGGAATGCGTCATTTTTGAAAGTGTAGAATACCTAGTTGGGGTTCACGTGACAATCGTGAACAATCGATACGTTGAGTGATATGATATAGAATTGGTCGCAGTAACGCAGATGCATTCACGTTTTGTCTCCTCTTAGATCTTGTGTTTCAGAATCATTTTACGCCTTTTGTTTAGGAAAATTCATCCATCCTGAGTAACCTTCCTTATGGTTAATCCTCTTTACCATTGTTGATATTTTGTCTAGATAACTTCACATTTCTCTGTCCCGATAAGACATGGGCATTTGAACTGATGGGTATATGCGCTATGTTCTACGTTGACAAGGGTCAGCTGACTGCTTACCTCGACTTTATGAAAACAGAACCTTCAGTTTTATACCCATTTATTGCATATATACTAATTCATTACTGGATAGTGACCAATGCCATGTCCTTCTAGCCCCTAGTGCTGATCTAATTACAATGTATCAACTAATCTGAAAAGCTTAACAGTGGGTTCACTGTGTTTTGATATTATATGGTTGGATGTATCTGACATGATACCCTAGACTTAGGTTTTGTGACATTTGGCGCCATAGGTTTTCAACACCCAGGAGAAGATATGGAGGCAAGATGATACTGATTGTTAGACGTTTTGTCGAATTCGACTTATTGGCTGATTGGAATAAAAGAATCGAAAGTGAGTGGTGTATGAATATTTCGATAACCACTTAGTGGCTTTGAAAACAAAGAACACCAAAATCTAGAATAATTTGAGCAAGTTAGGAGAATTAAATTTGAGACTGTATTACATTTGGTGTGGGGAAACGGTTGAAGTCGGTTGATCTGCCAGGTGAGCAAAGAGGCAAACGATAAGTTGATGTGAAACAAAGCAGCGTTGACTGAGATTATCAAGTTACACATACCATAGGATTATTCACTCTTGAAATAAGGTGGGGTCGAGGAGAAAGCCTATAACTCATTCTCCACAGACTTTTTCTTCTACATAGCCACATTGATATTTTGGAGATTATTGCCATATGCTTAAACGACTGCTTTGTGCAGAAACAAGTCAGTCGATAAGATTGAAAACCCAAAGTATCCTGAATGGTCAAGCCAATCTTTATATACTGACTTGACATATGATGCTGAATGGAGTGGGATCGAGTAAAAAACTAGAATTGGAAAAGCTAGACCACTAGACTATTTTATCAAGTCGCCGATAGTCTGAGTTCTTATATGTAGGATTTTAGAGTGAAATCGTTGAGGTGATAAATACTTCATGATTCAAACTATTTCTTGTCTGAAATAATTGCAAAACCGCTGGCAATCCTGTTTGGCTTATCACTGCAGGAATCTAAAATTCCAAGTGACTGATGAACTCAAGCATTAGTCTGGTCTACAAACTGGGAACAAACATTTGGTTAATAAATACCACCCATCTAGCCTTGCTAATATTGTTATTAGTTTAAATGAAAATATATTCGGTGCTGCTATTCTACATCAATTAGAAGAAAATACTCTTCTAGCCACTGTTCCCGAGCAAGTTCACCCATTTTTCAATGAAGGAAAATATCGAACAGCAGAGAAAGATAGAAATATTATGGTGGATGTAATCTCTATCAATTTACATAAAGATTTCGTGAAAATATCTCATCTGGGTCCTAGTCAGTTAGTTATACACAACGTGGAAGTTGGCTTATATGTCAAACGGTTAAGTTCCTACATCACAATAACAGCAAGATGGAAATGTCAAGACGAATCCCAGAGCAGTAGTAAAAACAGCAGAAAAGATAAGAGTATAATTAATACAACCCCGGAAAAGATGAATTAGTGGGGTAAAAAAGCACAAGATAGTTTGAAAATTAGTATGTAAAACAAGGTAGAGTAAATGCATCTACGCCAATGATGTCGATACTGAGCCATGTCGTCGAATGCATCTAACCACCGGATACGATAACCATGCTAACCCTAGGCAGGAAGTTCGAAGCTGCCAATAAGACCAAAACTGACTACTCATGATTTCACGGACTGATAAAACGTCTGTTCAGGTACTTCGAGCTTTCTTCCAGTCAACTAGGGGTGATAACACCTGAATGCGGCACCAATGAGACTGCAAAACTCCGGGGTCGATGTTAAGGTTGAAGATAAGAATTAGAACTCTTATTCAAAGAAGGTAAAGTGTGGGGGTGAACGGTATTTTATCCTAGTTAACTAGGACTGTAATCAATAGAGATTGCAGCTCCAAAAAAACAACTCTAGGTCATTTTCAACCTTATGCAAACCATCTAATCAGAGTAGCAAAAATGTTTAAAATATCGTCCACAGACGGGGATACAGGAATTTCTGTATGCCTTAAGGCCTAAATCCTCTGCCCGAGCAGACAAATTGGTGATCGTGAGAAATCTTGACAACAACAGTGGATTCATTGGTTGAAGCTCCTATAGATACATCGAAGCTTTTGGGAAAATGTTTACTGTAAACGTTAGCAAATGTCAGCTAAGTGATGTACTCTGTGAGACAGCACTTACTGTAACGCAATACACAAAGTAGCCGCTCAAATGGTTCAAATGGTTGTGGACGGAATAGAAGAAGCTTTTGCTTAACAGGCTTCCGTGTCTAGTAGCAGGGTATCACCAGTACCTCCAGGAAGGAACCAAGGTATATTAGCGATAAAAGAGAAAAAAGAAATTGGTAAATCATAGTCATACTTCAGATTCAGATCTGTATAGTAAGGACAGGAGGCCTACGGCCTATGTTATTCCTCTTCTAGTATGCTTCTGTGAGTGTCCAGACTTCTCTTGAAAGAGTTAATTGAAGGCGTGAACACCACTGCTTCGGGCAGCAGGTTCCAAGTATTGATGACTCGGTGTGAAAACCTGTTTGTTTGTTCGTTCTTGGCTTTTCTACTCGCCTGCTATGTCCTCTGAGATGTCCCGATCTAGTGGGAAGAAAAAGAGAGAGTAAGTTAGGTCCAAAATCATTTCTCAGTATTCTGTGCATCAAAATTAGATATCCCCCTAATCTGCGATAGGACAGTGTGAAGAGATCTAGCTTTTCAAGCCGCTCTTTGTATGGTAAACCCCGGAGTTCTGGAATTGCACAGGTAGCTGCCCTCTGTACTTTTTCTAGGATATCCGAATTATCTTTTAAACACGGGCTTGCAGTGTTAACGCAGTTCTCAAGCTTAGTTCTCACTAAGGACGTGTATACTTTGTGAACATGATAGTATCTAGCTTAGTGAATGTCCGTTTTAATGCCAAGAGGGTTCGAAACCCCTTAGCTGCGACCTCCCGGCAAGGGGTCGTCGTCTTAAGATCCTGACTTAATGTCACCCCCAGATCCTTATGAGATCAAACCACTGGTAATTACACTTCCCCCATGTTATACGTATTAACATTTGAGTCCCCGAAGTGCATGTAGACACACTTCGCCGCGTTGATAGGCATCAGCCACTCTTTAGACCAGTTAATTATATTATTTAGGTCTGCCTGAAAAGCATCTGAGTCTGTGTCTCCAGTTATTACTCGCCAGATGTTTACATCGTCAGCGTATAATAACATTGGAGACTGTACTATACTTGGAAGATCATTGACATACATTATGAAGAATAAAGGACCCAGGACGGAACCTTGAGGTACTCCACCAAGTACTGGTCTCCAGATGGAGCACTTGGAATTTATTCTTACCTTCTGTCTACGACCTACTAGGAAATCCTTAATCGATTTTAAGAGAGGTCCAGCAATACCAATGTTTTCCAACTTCAATAGCAGTCTATTTGTTGGCACCTTATCAAAAGCCTTACTGAAGTCTATGTAGACAACACCCACTGAGATTCCGTTGTCTAGCGCCTTCATCCGAAATTCCCTTGCTATAACGAGGTTTGTTGTACAGGATAGACCCTTTCTAAAACCATGTTGTTCTATATTTAACAAGTTATTTATTTCAATAAATTCCATTATGTTCCGTTTGACTATTCTTTCCAATATTTTAACTGCAACACTGTTGAGGCTTCAGGCCTGTAGTTCGATGGAACTTGTCTTGGTCCTGTTTTATATATGGGAGTGACGATTGCGTCCTTCCAGTCCATAGGTAACACACCTTGATTAAGTGACATATTGAATATCACAGTCAGTGGGGCCGCGATGTATTGTGCAATATGTCTCAAAATTTTAGGGTGTAGTTCATTTGGTCCTGTTGACTTTTCCATGTTTAAGGTGTTAAGAGCCTTGAGCACATTTTCTTGATCGGAGTCCACGGTGAGCAGGTTGTTTGTTGACTCTTCATTTTGGTTTGGTTCTTTGTTCAATGAAGGTTCCTGAGTGAAGACTGCCCCGAAATAGTCAGCCATGGCCTCTGCTTTTTCCTGATCTTCCTCTATCATTTAAGATTCCCTCCCTTCTTTAATTAGATTTGGAATCCAATGATGCATCCTTGTTCTGTAGTTTATGTACGAGAATATTCTCTTCGGCTGCTTGAGTGCTGATTGTGCCAACTGCATTTCATATTTTCTTTGAGCATCTCGAATTTTTGTTATACACTTGTTTCTTACCGATCTGTAGCGTTCCATCGTACCTGCTGTGCCAAGACGGATGGCGACATCCCAACATTTCTTATTTTGTCTTAGTAAACGTCGAATATCTTTGCCTATTCAGGGCTGTCCGTGCTTCTTCGTCTTTCGGACTGTCCAGGGTATGTATGGTTTAGTTACCCGGTTGTATAACTACCTGAAATGCGTCCATGCCTCTTGTACCCATGCCGTTGAGTCAAGTTCCCAGTTTTCAGCCGATACTGCGGATTTAATGGCCTCCATATCTGCCTTCCATATGTTAGGAAAGGCCGGCGCAACTGTTTGAGAGGCAATCTCAGCCACGAATTTGAATAAGATGACTGCGTGGTCACTTCTCCCTAGTGATGGGAGGAAAGTCATTTGACCAACGTCATTACCGTGTGTGAAGACTAAATCTAAAAGAGAAGAGTTTCTGAAGTCATATCTTGTGGGAGTTCTAATGTGTTGGAACAAAGCTAATGCAATCGATGTTTCTAACAGTTTGCAATCGAACGACGTTGTCGACTATCCTACTTCTAAGTTAACCCAGTTTATATATGGTGCGTTAAAGTCGCCTACTACAAGGCTTCTACCCTTGTTGCACCAGGACTTTAGTTTATTAAGGAGAAAATCATCTACCACACTCTGGACTGCGATATACTACAACTAATTGCCGTCTACATTTCAGCCTACATCGCACCAATTCACAAGTCCCTGAAACTTGTGCTACTGTCTCAGCTACTCTTATGGTTAGGGTACTTTTCGTGTACAGGATTACCCTCCTCCCTTACGATTTAATCTATCAGCCCTACTGGATAAAAAACCAGACAAGTGAATTTCACTTGAACTAGCTCAGCCCGCAGCGAATTCCAGCATTTAACAACTCTTAAGGAGTCGAAGTTGTGCTTGCAGTCCGTTCTTCTATGTTGTATCTCCAATTTCTGTGTTACCCCTTGGGTTATTATTGGTACTAAGCTTAAGTAGGTGTTTAAGAGGATGTCCAGGAGTATTAAGGATACTGTAAGCCACCAGAAGGTCACTTCTAAGATGCCTATACTCTAACGGGTAAAGGTTAAGTGATTGGAGGCGCATTTCATAAGGTTTAAATTTGAGTCCACGAACTGATTTCTTGGCTCGCCGTTGGATACGCTCCAGAGTGTCCTTATCCTTTTGGAGTGTAGGAGGGAATACTGTGTTTCCATACTCTAAATGGAGACGAAATAAATCTGTTGAAAGGTATGTGGAATGTTCTTCCGTCAAACTGGCCAAAAATGCGCTTCAGTGTTACCAGTGAGAAGTTTGCTCGAAAGGCATTTTGTCACAGTTAGCGTGAGACTTTTAATCGTAGGGCACCAGAACTCCTTAATCTTTTTCGACTCGGGATACTACTAGAGAGGAGTTTCCTAAGTTGCAACTGTAGTCTGCAACATGTCGCAGATGGACTACCTTACACTTCGAAATGTTAAAGGTAAGTCTGTTATCGTCTGCCCAACTGTGAAGTCGAGTCAGATTCTCCTGAAGTGCCTGTATATCGTCTTGGTTGCGTATCTCTCTCCAAAGTTTCACGTCATCGGCAAAAAGTAATAAGTCAGACGATACCTGTTGTGGAAGATCATTTATATAAATCAAGAAGAGAGTAGGTCCTAGTACTGAGCCCTGGGGGACCTCATTTGAACATTCTATAGCTTGTGACAAATTGAAGTTGACCCTAAAATTAAAGTGCCGATTTTTCAGATATGAAATAATCCAATCAATCAGAGGTGGTCTGATACCCAATTGTCTGAGCTTATTGATAAGACATATGTGGTTAACCCTATCAAAAGCTTTTGAGAAATCAGGGCATGTGATATCCACCTTCTACTCGCGATCGAGTATGCTTATAGAATTATCGTCTACTATGATATTAGCACTGCTCTAATAGTAGACCTAATCCTAAAATTGTAGATTTATCATGATGTAACTGCCTAATCTATAAGATCTTACGTGGAAGTCACATCATCGTCTACACCAACTCATTGCATTGTGACAATTACCAGTACGCGATAGGGAACAAACTTAGGCTAGAGATATAATATATTTAGTGTGAATAAAAGATACAAGATAACATTCAGCTGGGACCACGCCTGCAAGGCCGAGCCATGCCACCTGACCAACTCGTATTAATTCAATTCATTCCTTATTCCCGCCTTCTCCATTGTTGGGTATTTCCCAGCGTTAAATGTTGAATGTCTATTTTCCATTTTGTCTCGTGTTAGGGCTCAATGCCACTACATGCTTGTCCATCTGTCCACCGCAGTCAGCAGGTTGGTTATACAAGAGTAGCCTTTCCTGAAACCGTGCTGTTGAGGTGAGAAGAAATTTAAGGACAGTAAATAGTCATGTATGCCATCGTATATCAGGGACTACATGATTTTTGAAGGTATAGAGAGAAGAGCCATCGATCGCTAACTTGAAGGTTCGCTGCGTCGACCTCCTTTGAAAATTTGTGTGATATAAGCCAGCTTCCAATTTTCCGGTAGTTTGCCTAGACTTAGCGGGTGTGATAACATTACACTAAGCGATGTTGCCAGGATTGAAGCTGCTTCCCTCAGTATAGCAGGATGGACCATATCTGGGCCAGGAAAGGTGTCTGTTCTTAGGTGCTGCCGTTTTTGGAACACCAAGTCAGCGCCCAGGTTCACTTCGGAGAGTCCTGTGCAGTTGTAGATGAAGCTGTCACCAGTATAGTTGAGGCGGATCGGTCGAAGTGCCCGGGATTATTGCTCAGCCAAAAGGTTAGCGGCGTCACCGTCGTTATCGGTCGGCCCGTTAGGACTTATCAGCTGAGGAACTCCAGTTTTGGCTTGACGAAGAGAGGTTGCGTAACGGAATAAGCTTTTTGGATCGGAAAAAAATTTATCCACAAGCTTTATCTGGTACTGAAGCCTGTCTTCTCTTATAGCCTTTGTGCATATATTCCTTATACGTTTGTATTGCCTGTACGCACTGTTGTTGTTGGTTCGTTTGTATT